TTTACCCCACTAGGACATCACACAAGCGATAAACACCCGATGACACAAAATGCCACCATGTGGTGAGGATCACCGTGGAGGGGTCTCAGAAACCGTGTTCAGCCATTAGACCATATTTATGGTCGGGCTATATTGCGGCTCTTGGCAAGAGCCAGAGTAGGGCTTCAAATTCAAACTAACGAAAAATTTGCATCTCACAAGGAGATGACGGGATAAACGCATGCCTAATGTGCCGTGTCCTCGATTGTGATCTGATAACATACAATTATTCATGTAAAACGAGAACACTGCAAAGGAAAAGTATAATTATATTTGAAAGCTTACATTTTCGATTACTGTTATCCATCTCTCGAGATTATTAGACTGACTGTACAGGGACAAAGTGTATGCTTTAAAGTTGCTGATGAAAAGTGGTTTAAGACGCGGGGCCTAAACCCGGGGAAAGTTTTCAAATTGTTAAATCGTGTTGGTTATCTCCCTTACAAGGTACCGACGTTGTTTCGAATTTTATATTTTCAATAAACTTCAATGTAGGTCCAATCTAAAATGGGCCCAGGAAATGTCCTGGAAAGTAAGACGGCCGACCTGGTGATGAATCGCATCACCCATCAAGTGCTTATGGGAATCTAGTGTTATATGCCCGACGAGGACCGCCATAAGACGGTTTCTTTGCTTATTTTTTGTGTGTTGTCTTTAGTATTAGTAATTTTACTAAAGACAACTACTTTTATGACCCCATTAGTCAGTAGTGCAGCGGTCAAGACCAACGGTATGCCTGCCAGCTTGACCATAGATCACCCACACTGGACTACAGGTTACTTCGTAACCAATATAACGGTGCTATACGGGGTTTCGGTGATTTGCAAATGTAAATTGGGAGGGGATATACTTTTTTTTAAAGAAAGAAAGAAAGTTACCCGCTGAGCGCCAGTTCGTTAAAAAAAAATATTTAAAAAAATGAGGTTGTCACAATACTTCTGACGCATCTTGAAGATCATTTTCTTGTTTCCTTGGAACACTTGATAGAAGCTGCAGAGAGGAGATTCCTGACAGAATAGTCGGAATGCTCATTGATACAAACACAGATGAGGTTGATACTGAAGTAAATACTGACGGTTCAGTAACTGGGGGGAAAGCGAAGTGCAAGGCCATTCACAGTGAGCTCAAGAGGAACAACCGTTGAGATAAATGGCGCCTTAGGTTTTGCAACTAGCAGCCTCACAATGGTAACTGTTAGAGTTTACACACGTGTGCATACTTAGTGACTCAATAAATATCATATATATTATGAAAATCGGGGAAGAATGGACTGTATCACCAAACACTTCATGAATAGCTGGCTTAGCCTTCATTTTGTGCCAGGTTTTTTGATGTTCGAGGCAACGAGCACGCAGATTATCTTATAGGCACTGCAGTTGCTGTGGCTGGTTCTGGTACTGGACAGAAATGATGTTATCAATGCCATGCACAGCACCTACCATTAAGGCGAATATGACAAAGGGCTTGACTCCATATTCATGTCTAAGCTGATGGTCTTGGGGATGCAGTCTGGAGCTGCAAAAAATCACCATTTCACCAAGGAGACAAGACGTGTGATGACTTAACCCAGAACAGGCATCATTAGTCATTTTGTCCTTGTCGGGCTTATGAGGAGGAGATTGAAGCACCCATGGATCCTTCTTGAGTGCAGAGGTGATTATCCTCACTAATCACTAGGAACAAGAAAGAAGATAGTCACACTAATACAATGAGATAGTGATCCTTAAAATTTTGCCATGACCAAGATCTATATAACTGCACCAAAACCCCCCTGAGTGGGTGAAGGTGTAGATGAGTTTATAAATATAGACAGACAGTGACGGATAGATAAATCTACAGAATAACAACTTTACTTCAGTATTTAAATAAACTTTGATGATAATCTTCTGAACACATCTAACTTATTATTTTTGGTCCAACATACGAAGAAACATTTTCACACTCAAGCAAAATTACAATATATGCTTTAATACTGTTAACACTGTGTATATATACACATCAAAACTGCATCACACAAAAATGTAATAAATGCAAATATAATTGTCTTCACGTGAATTAGGTACTTTTTCCTAAAGTTACAAATGAACATTTTGTATGTATGTTTCTCTTAGTTACATCACCTCGTAGAATTTATCCTAAAAACAATTTGTTTTGTTTCTTCTGTGAATTCATTTTCATAAGTAAATATCAGGTCATGATTGGTAACAGTAATAACAGCTCACTGTAGTAGAAAAGTTCACATGTCAGCAGACACACATTATCAGAAAGGACCTGTGTTTGAATTCTAATTGAGAAGTGGATTTTATTTTCAAACAATTGATCAGCAGGTCTAAAATGAGCATCAGGAAAAATTATTGGAAGTAAAAGTGTGTTGTGTTATATTTATCTTACGACCCGTCAAGTTTGATTTGGTCTACATAAATATGGGCTAGCATCTATACCTGTGGGGGATGCAGTAGTCCAGTGGCATGCCTATTGGGCTAGTGGTCATAAAGTTGACTGCAATTGACTACCAGTCAATATGGTGGAAAGGCTGCTTGGTGTTTTAGTAACAGCAAGTTCTGCTTCTGGCAAAAGTTGGCTGATGCATTTTTATCCAAATGTAGACTGAAAGGATATAATTCCATTGCCAAGCTACTGTGCTGAGTGCATGGTGCGATATTATGAGCTGGCAATATCATTTGGAATGCTTTTCAGCTGTGTCCAACATGGCTTGTGTTATAAACTGTAGATTCAAAAAATTGTAAGTGGCCTGTTGCCACAAAACTTATGGTGATTTATATAATTAATCATGTGTGTAACTACTGATCTGTTCTAATTGCTGCTTCCATCAATGATGAACTGAATTTCTAGTGTTGGACTGCTTGTGTTGACACTTCTGATGGCTTCTTTATGCATTTAATGCATGTATGCTATTGGATTTGCTGAGACTGCTCTCTGTGCTGATTTGTTTCACAAATGATAGTGATGGACATTCCAAGTGGTTTTCACTGGCACAGAAACAGAGCAACAATGGGGAGACCCATTTGCTATGAAGCTGGAACTGCAGTTACCTGATTAATGCCACCAAGGCAGATTTGTGCAACTGACTTCGACTCTTAGTTGACGAAGTTTAATAAAACGTGCAAGAAAATGTCATAGGAAGTAAAAGTAATCAGCATGATACTGGCTACATAATCCATGCAGTCCCAGTCAATCTATTAAAAAAAATATTTGTTGAGCATGATATACCCAATACAAGTCTAGGGTGTGGAAAAGGGTTGGTTGTTGTTATTTTCTTGACTTTGTGGAATACTGGAGTGGAATGCAAGTGCCCACCATATCGTAACAGTTTAGTAATCATGGGTCATAAAGGCAATTCATGCAATTAAAATATGATGAAAGTTAAAAACAATGAAATAACAAACAAAATAATGCATAACCTCTGTGACAGAACAGCTTTGCTCATTAAAATATACCAGGTGTTTCCAATAATCATATCATGTTTGCTCTTTTGTCTATTCTAAAAGTTCACCTATTTCATTAGATACCCCCCCCCCCCCCCCCCCCCCCCCCCCACCCCACTTTCCATACACACTGATTCTTTCAGCTAAAAAATTAATTTTGGTATTATGGAGAAACAATAATGAAAAAATAAAGTATACATGTTACAAGAGACCTTTGGTCAGGCACACAGAAAACATACATATATTGGAAACACTGTTGTGTGTATGCATAAATATATATATATATATATATATATATATATATATATATATATATATATATATATATATATATATATATATATATATATATATATATATATATATATATATATATATATATATATATTTTTTTTTTTTTTTTTTTTGCTGCATGATATCTTGTCATATCCAGATGCAATAAAGGTGTTATCCCTATTTTATTACATTCTTCTTGCCAACAATTGTTTAGGTCCATAATAATGGTTGCACCACCTAGGTGATTCTCTCTCCAAGGATGACAGTAGTTGTCAGATTAAATCTTTTCTGCCTCCTTCTATCTGGTCTCACACATTCCTCAAATGAAAATGTTCATTTCTAGTTTGATATTCTCTACCCCTCCCCCCACGCCGCTTGTTAATTCAACACCTATCTACACAGCTTTTTCTTGAAATGTGTCAGCTGTCCTGTCTCAGTTTACCTGGAATGTACAACAGTGATTTTTCTATTAAATCCAGTAGCCTTTATTTAAAGAGATGTGTTCTACAGGGGAAGAGGTTATGATGCTTTTTATTTCATAGGTCCATGTCAGTTTCCAACAGAAAGATTCAGTAAGCAGAGGGTCTGTATAATTTTTTACCTGCATGGGGAAAAACAGGTGAACTTTTAATCAGGTTACAATTACCATCTGTATGGGAATTCTTTGCTACTAGGGAAGTGAACTGAGCAGGTATGGAAATGTCTCAAGGGTAGTGACATACATTCCTAATTTATTCATTCATTCCAAGCCTTTCCAAGTATCAGAAGCTGCTACACAAACTAATTTCTTTCAAAGTCCATCAATTGTATTTGTGCTTATTCCATTGGTGCTTATCCAACTTACAACCTAGTAGTAGGGCAAACCACTAGTTGTATTTGTCCATAGATGCTTATTCAACTTAATGCACCTAGTAGTAGGACAGACCCCAGCCCTAAGTACATAAGCGTAACAATAAAAATAAAACATGCTTTACAAATATTTAAATTTCATTTATTTCCAACAAAAAATAAAATTGTAAAACTGAAACATAATACTGTATAATTAGTTCTGCTTATGTGATAGAAGAGTTTGTGAACACAAAATTTATTCATTCATTATTAATAGCAATTCAGGTGAAATCTCTTGACAATGTTTAAAATATAAACAAAACAAAAAAAGAAAAAGAAAACGTTATCAGTTTATTTCATGTATAAAACAGAACTGTGACTTTTAATAATTGAAAAACAGTAATTAGCAAGCTACTGGACTGTAATTCCCAGAGGAATGCCTCGCCGAGGCCTGTAGGCTTCTCCAAGTGGCACCATTTTAATGCATTCCACAATTGGACACACAGACAGGCACAGAGTGCAACCTGTTGATTAAAGATAAGATCAGTTGTTTATTGTAATAATATTTGAATTACAGACTGTACGACTCACTGGGTTTCCTCCTCTAGCCTGCAGACTGAAAGTTTAACACCCCTGTGCATTGTGAATGCCAATAAATTCTTATTCTTTTTCACCCTCTGCTGCTAACTGAAAGTGCGATACCCCTGTAACCCACAGAGTTAAATCTTGCATGTCAGTTCAACACAGAAAATCCCAGGCGCCCCCTTTTAACCTCCAAATAAGTCATATTCAGGTCATCCCTAATGGCTACACCAAGTGTTATCTTTGTTTTAGCCCAATGTTCTGGATGGGTATGAGGTAAAGGTTTAAGGTTAAAGTCGAGAGGATCAAATTAATTACACTGAGCTTTATTCCATACAGCTCTGTCTCTCTCTGAAGAATGGCTAGCTGTCTTCCAAGAGCATCGCACAGAGCACAAACTCTGTAGCTCTGGTGATGATCCCCTCCATAAAATTTGCACTCGTATATTGAGCGGCGCAACTGTGAAACAAACCCATGACTTTCAGAGTGTCAGGCAAAGAGCTTGACCACTTCACCATGGAGACCCCCTGGGTATGAAGTCATGACTGCTGATTACAAACTGAATGACTGACTGACTGTTTCTCCCCTAGGGGCTGCTACGTGAAAGTTTGACACTCCTGTGATACAGAGTCACATCCTGGAAAATAATTATCCTGTTCAGCCTTCTTAAAAATTACAATTAGGTAGCCCACATTGGCTACACCAAGTGCTACTGGCTATATCAAGTACTACTGGCTATACCAAGTACTACTGGCTATACCAAGTGCTACTGGCTAAACCAAGTACTACTAGCTATACCAAGTACTACTGGCTATACCAAGTACTACTGGCTATACCAAGTACTACTGGCTATACCAAGTACTACTGGCTATACCAAGTACTACTGGCTATACCAAGTACTACTGGCTCTACCAAGTACTACTCTCTTTGTTCCCTGATGCTTTTGGTGAGCAAGAATTGGTGTTTTGGATATTATAAATTTTCTTTTAACTCTTTGAGTCCCCGGGGATTTAGCATCAGAGGCCCAAGGGGTAGTCTAGATTTGTTGTTGTTATCGATCCAGCGGCGCATGAGCTTTCGCCCTTTGGCCCAAAGCCATGTAGTGGAATTTGCATGTTTTCACAAGCTGTTCTTTTCCTCCGTACAAGGTGTTCCATTTGTCTGGTCTCGGAGGGAGTAGCGTTCTTCTTGTCTCACTGAGTTTTGGGCACTCAAAGAGATGGTGTTCAACAGTTTCGTAGGGGTAGTTACATAGCTGGCACTCTGGGGAGTGTTGTGGCTGTATTCTGTTTAGGTGTCCATTGAGTGGAGTATGTTGCGTTCTAAGTCTGAAGATGGTGGCCTGGTCCCTTCTTGTTAGATGGTTAATGCTGTCATTAGGATCAGGGCCAGACATATGTCTATAAACCTCTCTTCCAGTGTTTCCCATGGCCCATCTGTTCAACCAAGTCTCTTTGTTTATAGCTCTTATCAGTGTTTTTGCTGTCTGGAGGGTTGTCGCTGTAGGTGGTTGTTCTTGTGTTGCTCCTTTCTTTGCCAATCTGTCAGCTCTGTCATTACCTGGTGTGCCGGAGTGACCTGGAATCCACTGCATCACTATTCTGATGTTGTATGAGGTAATAAGCTGATCAGCATCCAGAATTATCTTGGCTATGTCAGTTCTGCAGCGTTCACTGCCCTCCAGAGCTTGAAGGGCAGATATTGAATCTGTGAAGATGACAATATTTTGGACCTTTGAAGGGTAAACATCCATTACAGTCTTTAGGTGGTATACTGCTGTTTCCAGTGCAATTATTTCAGCTTCATAGTTTGAACAGAATTCCCCGCATGCATCAAAAATCTCTTCAACAGATCCATCGGGATAACCTATGTAGATTCCGTAACCTGCTTTAATGGTAGCTTTAAATGCTGCTCCATCAGTATAGACATGTATCCATTCTTGGGGGTAAGAATCAACGGTCTTTAGTGATGAGTTCATAAGAGCGATTGGGTCGGACTGTTTGGTTTCCTCGCCTACCAATTTAGTTCGGACTTCTGGAGCTTTAAAGCGAGCATGTGGTGGTAGGTTTCTTGCAACATTCTGAATTCCTTGACGTCTTTCTGGGAGGTGGTATCTGTCCTGAATTTCATTAACACAGTGTAAAACCGATTTGTGCTTTATTCTTTGTTTGGATTCCCAGTTTTCTACAAGATGTCTATTAGGATGGTTACGATTTTTCCTAACGCATCTTTCATAGATTTCCAAAGTGGCTTTTTTTCTCCGCAACCCGAGGGGTTCCACATTTGTATGGATTTCACATGCAGCAGTTGGTGTAGACTGCATAGCTCCGCAGATTAATCGGAGGGCATTATTTTGTACTCTGTCAAGAGTCTCTAGGTTAGTTGGTAGTCTAGAGAGAGGTGAAATCAGCGCATCTTGAGTTCACTGGGCTTCTAGGTAGGAACCTATGAACGTGTGATGCGTTCCTTGGGACTCAGAGAGTTAAATATGTAGGCTGTTTGTATAATAACATTTTGTAAGCATAAAATTATGGATTTTCCCATGGAAGCATTTAGGCATAGGTAGGTTTTATGATTCTTTTTAAAATTAATTTTTCTTCATCTTCTTCTTTTCACTCACTCACTATTTATCCTGTTTTTTGCCCTGATGTAATTGCATTGTACTACCCCCCCCCCCCCTAACATACCCCACCCTCTGGGTGACTTCCTATCGTTTGACTTCCTGATTATCAGTGATGGGCAGCCATTGATGTTCCAGCGTGGATGGAGACTGTGACAGGCTTCACCAAGATGTTATTTTGAAATCAACAGTGCCCGATTTCTTGAAAGCATTTTGAACACATTTCTATTCCTCCTTAACAGCATTTCTAGCTGCCCCAGCTCTACACTGTCCTGCTTCTTTATAACGTAAACAACCCCACTCCACTCCCTGATAGCATTGCTAAAAAAAACTCAATCTATGACAAGTTACCTGTGCAGTCCTTCTTATTAACCCGAGGAAGGTGTGTCTGAGGATCAAAGTAGATAGCCTGGTAACCAGAATCATTGCATGTCATGTAGCACTTTCCACAGTTGATACACATGTCCTGGAAATATCCAGCAAAATATCTCAGCCTTGGATTTTAGTTAGCTGGTTAGTTGGCAAGCTGATTGGTTGGTTGTTGGGTGTGTGTGTGTGAGAGAGAGAGAGGGGGAAGGATAGAGAGAGAGTATATACAGGTATGCAGTCCCATGATTTAAGTTATGAGTTGGCTTATCCTCATGGTACTCTTTACATATCCATCAGTGCCATATGGCGAATAGTACCAGTCGTATGCTGGTCAGCCGGCACTGATATAGGTCCTTGGATTTTAGTTAGCTGGTTAGTTGGCAAGCTGATTGGTTGGTTGTTGGGTGTGTGTGTGTGAGAGAGAGAGAGAGGGGGAAGGATAAAGAGAGAGTATATACAGGTATGCAGTCCCATGATTTAAGTTATGAGTTGGCTTATCCTCATGGTACTCTTTACATATCCATCAGTGCCATATGGCGAATAGTACCAGTCGTATGCTGGTCAGCCGGCACTGATATAGGTCCTTTAGTTCATTTCCTATTTTTTTCCCGTTTGGGTTTCGGGGCCCTGTTATAGGAAAAACAAGAAAAGACCCACTGCCTACCCAAAAGCATGACATAGAAGTTGACTAATTGAGAGCTTCCTTTAAAGTCAGAGTGCATCTGCCGGAGAGGCAAGGAACCAGATGTCTGCATACAAATGAGCCACATCTTTAAAATGGATGCACACACAACACACAGGTTCTGGAACAGGACTGCAGTCCAGAAGTGGATGAACAACCAGAACTTTCCGCCAGACTTATCAGCTGGTGAACGAGAAGAAGAATTTCCTATTTTATGAATATAGTCAGGTAGAAAAATCAGTTCACTACTAAGGATTGTATTTCATCATCATCATGTGCTGTGCTGACAAGCATAAGCTGTCATGTTTCACCGTACTACATGATCATCAGAATCATGTATCAGGTCAGTGTGAACATTGAATTTGCTGTCTTTGTAAGCAAACAGTTGGAAAATATGAAACGAAGGTCAGCATTACTAAATGATAATGGCAATAAACAAAGGGTATTTATGTGACAAGCCTCCATCAGCAAATAAGCAACTACAAAACAACACTAGACAGAGAAAGAAATGAGGCTGAAGTAACTACATAAGGTCATGGAAATATTATTTATAAATGCTGAATAAAAAATAAAAAAGAATGACATGAAAAAAAAATGTAGTACTTAACCGTCCTGAATTGTTAAAGGAAAAAACAAGTGCATTAACTACTCTGCCACTGTGATTCAAAATTTTTTTTTGGTATCTAAAAAAAAAGTCATAATTTAAATAAGTATTTTCCCAGACATATGAATCAAAATAGTGCCCTATTCTAGCCAGTATGTATCAATTTCTGTTTTTCCCCTTTGGAATGCTTCATAAATCTCTGCCTGTGTGGGTTCCAGGGCCCAATTGTGGGGAAAACAAGAAAGGACCCACTGCTTCCCTAATAAGCATTTCCAACATTTACAACTGGTGAACGTGAAGTAGAAGAATTAATCTCAATCTGAATTCTAGACCAGCAAGGCAAATCCCAGATCCCTGTTTAACCTCTGAAGAAGTTATAATTGGGGCACCATAATGGCTACATGAGCCTAGTATGGTCTGCAGTCCTGAGAGGGCGAAGAACACTTTGAAGTAATTATCTATTCAGACTTTTTTTTTTTTTTTTAAGTTTTCTACCTCCAGGATTGCAGTCTGTGCAGTCCTGTTAAATCATATATTATGTTAGGGGGCACCACAAAACGTTCACAAAGTAACCAGTAGTGCAGTGTGGGTACGTCTTATTATATTCTAATAATAGAGAACAGTGGCTTGTAGACTTGCTTATGAACACCTTTCTAACCTCATCAATTAGTGCAACAACTTGATCAGTGTTATCAAGCTCTGAATATGATGTGATCCCTCTGACAGCTTGCCCAATGAGATCCTTAACTCTTGGCACAGGTTTTGTTAGTTGTAGTGCAGGTCGACTTGGGACTGGCTTCTGGGTATCATCAAGCAAGTCCAGTTTGTTCTTTAGATTTGCAATAATGGTCTCCCTTTGTTTCAGATATGGACCAAATGAAGGTAAAGACTGGAAGCAAAAATAATCATGTATAATAATATGCAACACTATTACCAGTGCCAGGTACAAAAACCCGACATATTTTTTGTTAACAACCAGCAAAAATATTCATTTTTATATTTGCAAGTGGTAAAGAAATTTAATATAAAACACTGTAATAGCATTATATATACACTGTATTTAGCAACTGTATATGAGTGAGTGAGTGACTTTCTACCCCACCAGGACATCACACAAGCGATAAACACCCTATGACACAACGTGCCACCATGTGGATGAGGATCACCATGGAGAGGTCCCAGAAACCGTGTTCAGACATTTGGCCATTTTTATGGCCTGCCTATATTGCGGCCCCTGGCAAAAGCCAGAGTGGGGCTTCAAATAACAAAAAATTACGTCCTGAAAAGGACGTAAGGACTTGAAGCTATAAGCAACTGTATATAAAGAAAATTAATAGAAAACAATGTAATAGCACTATTTAATATGGGACACAATTTTTCTTATTTCAGTGCCCCACCCCAGCTGTAGTCGGGGACCTTAATACAACCTAACGGTTGAAGGAGTTTCTAGGATCTCTCCCCTGTAATCCTCATCCGCATGGTGGCACTTTGTGTCACTGGGTGTTTATTGCTCGGTGGATGTCCTGGCAAGGTTGAATCTCACTCACAATAGCATTATAAATATGCTGTATTTAGTAACTGTATGTAAAGAAATTTAATAGAAAAGAATGTAATAGTATTATAAATTTAAATACATATATATACACACACACACACTCATATATATATATATATATATATATATATATATATATATATATATATATATATATATATATATATATATATATATATATATATATATATATATATATATATGTAGTATATATATATATAGGAGTCGCCGTGGTGAAGCGACTAGACTCTCACCTGCGGATCAGAAGGTTGCATGTTCGCTCCCTTGCGGAGCCAGACTTTTTTTAAAAATGACTTTGGCTCCCAGGTTGACCCAGCCTTTAGTGGGTACCGGCTGTAGTCCTGGGAAGTAAAGGCGGCCAGCGTGATGCTGACCACATCACATATCTTGTGCCGATTGGTCTATAAAATATAGGTCTAGCCCTATATGCCCTATAGGCCTAAAGGCGTGGAAAATTGTCCTTTATTTACTTAGGTTTACTCTATATATATATATATACTGCATTATTAACTGTATAATAAAAATTGTCATTTAGCACCTTCTTTGAACTGAAAGTTGGACACAATCATAAACCAAGTCCTTTGTAGAAAGACACTTTAAAAATTCTGCCCACCCCTTTCCACCAGAAAAGAAATTCTGAATCCTCTGTTATTTCTTCTGCTGCATGCATTTCCATGCCGAAGTGTCTCTAATATCCTTTGTCCACCTTCATATTTGTCCCCATTATTTCCAAACCAATGTGGTGTTTAATGTGGTCATAATATTTGAGTTTCTGAGATATGATGCTGTTGATAGGTCAGATTTTTTTAATGTTTAGATCTAATGGAATGTTTGCAATGTGAAAAAGTTCATACATCAATGTGGATTAGAATACATGATCAGCCTCATGTAGGTTCCATGGCCCCATTGTAGAGGGAAGAAAAGAATGGGGCGCTGCCTTCCTGAAAAGTCTGTTGTAAGAGTTGATTGATTAGGGCAGTTTTCTATGATGTCAAAGTACATTTGCTGAGAGGCAAGCAGCCAACAGTCTGCATACAAATAAGCCAGATCTGTAAAATGGATGTACATGCAAAACTCAAGTTCTGGAACAAGACCAAAATCCAGAAGTGGACAAACAACCAGAACTTTCTGCTGGAGTTTACAGCAGGTGAACAATAAGAAGGTGAATTTAAGTATTTGGGAGAATTTTCACATTTGATGGAAAACTGGACAGAGAAATTAGCTCAAGATTTTCCAAAGGTAATCACGTAATGGGGCAACTGTCTGCCTTGTTGACACACAAGCAAATACCCCGGAGTACTAAAGTGAATCTTATCAGAACTATTTTATGGCCAACACTATGCTATCAGTGCCAAACGTGGACACTTACATCCTCCAATGAACGTAAAATTGTGACAACAGAGATGAAATGCCTTAGAAGAGCTGCAGGAGTTTCAAGGAAAGACAGAATACGAAATCATGAAATCAGACGAATGCTAGGAATAAAGCCAGTCTTACAGGTCATCAAAGAACAACAAATGAAGTGGTTTGGACACCTAAAAAGAATGCCCTGGTACTATCCGCCACAGCGAGCCCCACTAAAACGTTACAATGGGTATAGAGCGAGTGGAAGACCTAGGAAAATATGGAGTGATGGCATTAAGAACAGCCTTACAGAAATGAACATCAGTCTTAATTGTGCCTTTAACAGAGCTCATCAATGAATTTACATCTCCCCCCAACACTTCGATGAGGTACAAGGTGGAATAGAAGAAGAAGAAGAACAATAAGAAGAAGAATGCATGACCATTGGTTCGGCAGGCAAATACTAACCACTAGGGCACCATGGTTTCCTCACCGTTAAGTGCCATCTCTCAACAAAAGGTTAGAAGCAATATTTTATTTGAAGTTAAAGTTAAAGCTGAAAGGATCAACTTTATTGCGCTGTTATATCCCACGTAGCTGAGTCTCTTTACGCATAACAGCTAGCCATTTGCTGAGAGCACTGCACAAAACCCAAACTCTGTAGCTCCAGCATAGATTTCATTTAAAACTACAATCATGAACTGAACCATGTATTCATGAAATGAACCCATGACCTTCAGGATGTGAGGCAGATAGCTTGACCTTGTCACCATAGAAACCACCACAACATTTCTATTGCGACTGCAAGGTATAGAAGTGAATGAACATAAAATATTATTTTTATAGATACTTACATGGCCGTTAAGATCCAGGTGAATTACTAGCTTTCCCTTCTGATGTTTGACAATTGGAGGACTTTGACCATCCCAAGAAGAAAATGAATCCAACCCTCTCAGATACAGCAGGGTTTTCAGCCCGGTCGTGTAGTCTTCTATTACTGTGAAATCCTGGTTCTGAACTGCACTGCACACCTATCAAAGTTTTTTGTTTAATTTAAAAAAAATTAGAGGACTCTTTTTTTCAATTGGGCATATAGGGCTAGACCTATATTTTATAGACTAATCGGCGCTTGGTGGGTTATGTTGTCAACATCACCCTGGCTGCCTTTACTTACCAGGTAAATGTCTAGTTGCTACACAACAGCGACTCCCACTGCATACCTATAGAAATCCAAAATGCAGCCGCAAAAGCAATTTTGTATGTGTGGGTGTGTGTGTGTTTTTAAAGTTTACTTAAACTATTTCTCCAATATTTATATTTAAAAGATACATAATGAAAGAATATATTAATTTAATAAATAAGTGGGTTGTGATTTCCAAATACCAGCAGACCTGGTTTGATTTGTGATGTGCACGGTGCAAATTTGTGCAGATTATAAACAATAATGGCCTATTTCTCTGTGATCCAAGAGTAGAGGATCGGTTGTCTAGCCTTACTGGATAATGTGCAAAAAAACATGCGCAAATTAAAAATTCCACAGTAGTGGGAAATTCTTCTTCTTCTTCTTTGCATTCACCAGCTTTAAACTCTGGTGGAAAGTTCTGGTTATTCGTCCACTTCTAGACTACAGTCCTGTTCCAGAACCTGAGTGTTGCGTGTGCATCCATTTGACAGATCTGACACATTTGTGTGCAGACTGTTGTTTCCTTGCCTCTAAGGCAGATGCACTTCGACTTCGAAGGAAGCTACCAATTAGTCGACTCTTACGACATGCTTTTGGGTAGGCAGTTGGTCTATTCTTGTTTTCCCAAAACAAGACCACATGGGTTAGTAGGAAATTGAAAACAGAATGAACAAATAAATTAATGAACAAACTTTATTTTCAAAGGGTTTAGAATTAGGCATGAAGGTCCATCTTACATTCTACCCTTCAGGCTCACTCCTCGTAAACAATATTTCATGCATTATTTCATGCATTATTTCATGCATTATTTCATTTCACAGATAATAATAATGGGTTAGATCGATGTTAGTCTCCCCAGACCCCCGCCCATATACACACTAGCTCACTTCTAATTGGTAGTTCCTGAGCCCCCTGACCTTCACTCACAGTTACGAGGATGTTATGCAATACCATTGATATCGGGTGTTGTATTTTTCAGCATGCCAGTGCTTTTAACATTGCAAAAACATGGAGAAACTGGGTCTAATACAACTAACTCCCTAGAGAGTGCTGCAACCTATGTCACAAGCATTCTCTTTCTCGAAATGAAAACTGCAAGACATCGCAAAAACAAACAACAGAGCGGGACACACCCGTAACCTTCAGGAAAGTTGACCAGCCTAACAAACTTGTCAATGAAAAGTGACCTACTCTATTTGGGAAGACTAACGTTGAACTAATGATACAAATTGTTAACAACATCTAGGCTAAGTCATACAAAAGTTACAAAAGCTGTAATTAGCTTTTGTATCTACATTTCCAAACAATAATAATATTAAAATAATTAAGTCATTGTATAGTTTGTAATTCATAGCACTAGAAAATTTGTGGAGATCAAGAGAAATTAAAACTAATACTAAACTTAAAATCTGTAATTCTGGTGTCAAATGAGCTCTGTTGTATGGAGGGCATACATGTAGAAAACTAAAGGAACTGCAAATAAACTACAAATATTCATTAACTGTTACCAGTGCTGAATAGAAATAATTAAATGATATGACAGAATCAATAATGTAGAGGTTTGGAAGAGAGCTAAACAAGTTCCAGTGGACCAAAAGGTAAACAAAGGACAGTGGCATCGGAAAGGACACACGTTGAGAAAACCTGAGGACAAAATATTAGGCTGTGCTAACCAGGTAATTTCTAAAAGAAAGAAAAAAGGAATTCAAACTTAGGATTATCCAACTGGTAGGCAAGAATGTAGAATGTCTTTGCATTGGAACCCACAGGTGCAGAGAAATGAAGGAAGACCAAAAAACACATGGAGAAGGGAGCTAGAGAGTAAAGTTAAAAAGAGGGGAGGACATGGGCAGAGTTTAATTTGACAGCGAAGGATAGAATGACTTGTCGTGAGTTGGCTGAGGGCATATGCTCCAGTGGAGGTTAAAAGGCAGAAGAAGAAGAGGACAGTTTGTAATAAAATAATATTCACATAGTTTCCGACTGTATATGTATGGATTGTTGATATTGTTTACTGGCTGCGGAAGTAATTTCACCAAGACAAGCAAACACCCTACTGCAGTAAGCAAAGACTACTGTACATGCCATGAAGTCTGCTGGTTAGACATTGCTGGTCTCACATTTTGAGATCAGTTAGCATTCAATGGGTAATGTAATCAGTATTACACCAGTTGCTTTTACCTCCCAAAACATTACCCAATATCCAGTTTTCTGCTCGACCAGGGCTATTTAACTGGTGGCACGTGTGCCAGAACTGACCCACAGAGACCTAGCATGTGGTCCATGGATCATTGCCAGTTGTACTAAATTAGTGATCTTTCTGTGCTGGGGATCAGGCCTCTGGCCTGTGATAATTCACATTTTCCGACTGTTGGTCCCTGTGTAAACTTTGTTGAAAAGTCCTGTGTAGACTGACCTGTAGCTAAAGTGAAGAAAACTCATTCTTGCCTCTGTGAAAGACAGGCAATCTAGCCACTGCGCTACTGCTGCTATCAAACGGGCAATATAAAATGTTAAAGTTAGTTGTGTATCCTTTACAATACGTTGCAGAACCATACCCAGCATTTTTTGGCTGTTTTGGTTTTTCTAGGCAAATTATCAATCAGTAGTTTGCCATTGCTTTCTGAATGGTTAGCTCTTGGTACCACGGTCAAAACCAATGCAAGACAAGCCATCCACAGCTGGGATCAAACCTAGCACCCCAGCATTAGGAAGCGTGTTTACAACACATAAGCCACAGATGAAAAAGACAATTAACAAAGCTAAATTCCAAGCTGTGAGCTCTTCATTAATAGAAGTTTAGAGGATGATCAGTATTTGACCTTTATGTTCTATGAATTAATTTAGGTCTTAAAGTGTTTCTTACTTGCAAAACAGATGCCCCAGCCTGGATAAATTGCAGTCCTGCATCGGCTGAATCAATACCTCCAGTAGCTAGTATTGGGAAACCTGGTAACTCGCGAGCAATGGCTGATACAGCACGCAATGCTATAGGCCTAATAGCATTTCCTGACACACCTCCATATGTTGTTAGCTTTCGTTTACCAACACTTGGCCAAGCAGAACCATCACTTCGGAGACCCATTAGCCCAGATACAGTGTTAGTTGCAGTTACACCATCAGCCAAGCCTGTATGAAAATAATACAGCAAGAAGCATTTCAGCTAATTGTTTTTTTTTTTTTACTTCAGTGATGTTCAAACAGATTGGTGGATATGGGAGTGCAACCTGGAGCAGCCGGACAGGAACATTCTACTAAAGGCACATGATGACCGAATAATCAACATGGAATAGGCGTGTTTGGTCATTTTACATTTGTGGAATCTTTTAGAGATCAGAGCAGCCATTGATTTGTCCAGATAATAGTCCTCAATAGTCAAACACTAAAAGATTTCTAAATTAAATTTATTTATCTGCATAATGGATATATATTTCTTCTCTTCAGTTGACAAACATTTGAGGCAAAAAAGCATTTACAATAAATAGCATGTGTGTTTATTTATAGCTATTGTGAATTTTCTGGTATTGGTTTTGATTAATTCTGTATTAGAACTATAATTGTCTTTAAAAGCTAGAGAACACATCAATAGTTTTCCTAAAAAAGCACCCTTGCTTGATATCAGCTTGTTTTCCTCGTAGTTCCCCCCCCCCCTTTTCCCCCAACATTTAGAAAAGAAGTATTCCACTAAATATGCTCTCATCTAATATGCACAGATTTCACAAATTCTTATTTATGCAGCATATGTATTTTAAATGCTTCACTGCCCGGCTATCTAGCGAAGTTGATTAAACCTGACTTTCGCGGCGGCCGGGTGACGAACTCCTTGTGGTCCGGGTTCACTCCTGGGGGTAGGCAGAAAAGCCAGATTTCTCCCAGATTAACGGTACCTATAATGGAATCAAGGCCGAAGGGTTGCGATATCCATAGTACTGAGCCAAAGGGTTTACAACTCATGGTTTCTGGATACGTTAAAAAAAAAAATTAAAAAAAAAAAAAATACTTCCCTAAGCAATGAAGCAATTATTTTCTCATTTAAAAAAAACATTTTTCTTTATTTGTGCCAATGTATTAGCAAATTTCATTATGAGGATAGCAGTTTAACTGATTGTGTTAAGTAATTGTTAAAAAGTAACAGAATGCTTAACCATGGATCAGACACAATAAATTCTGTAGTATCCACATGAGACACTGAAATAGGAAAAGAAAGAAACTTTATGTGCACTATTTAGTCTTGATTTTTCAGAGTAATTATTAGGATTTGTTATAAATCACAAGTCTTAATTTTGACTAGACAACAGAGAAATCATACAGTGGGATAAATCTCCCCTGTCAGGTCACCAGTTTGTTCTGTCTGATTTCATTTGGCTTACTACTATCTTGAAAAGAAAAGAAAATCTCTTAAGTTTTTTTGTTGTTGAAAAGAGAGGGGGTTGGGGGGGGGGGGGGGGGGCGGGGGGGGGGGGTGGGGGGAGGGGTCTGGATGTCTTACTGTTGTATCAGTTCCAAAATAAAATTTTTGTTTGTTAGCTGTTGTTAACATTGTTATTTACTATTTTATGCTTATGTTCTTAATTTAAAACCCTAATATCCAGAAACAAATTATGAATTTGTATAATATTACTAGCTGTACCCGGCCACGCGTTGCTGTGGCGTAATTTGAGATAGTCTTTGATCCCCACCCCACTCCCCCCCCCCCAACTAAATCCACCTACTACCCTCTCCCTCATCAAAGGTTTTTAGAAAAGAAAGACAATGGAAATCGCACCTGTCTAATGAAGTTAATGACACAGTCAATGTCTGCGGCGACGTCGAGATAGTCCTTGATTGCCCCCACCCCCGCCCCCCTCCCCCCATCGAAGGTTGTTTTGAAAAAAAAAAAAAATAGAAATCGTGTTTAATATGGTTATTGTGGCAAATATAGAGATAGTCTTGTTTGCGGTACCTCGACCTACTCTATGTATTAAGGTGTTGGCTGCACGTAACTCGCCGGCGAATGGCGGAAGCCTTGCGTTCTGACTACGGCGGCGCATGCGCAATTAGTAACGTGGCTTTAATTAGAAATCACTAAAGTTATAAATATTAGTTGCGAATATTATGGCATAAATTGTGGTCACCTATCTCTAACAGTGACAGGTTGAATTTCAAACCACGATGGTTCAAAATCCGGTATCAAAACAAACATATCCTAAAAATTTCAGCTAAATCGGTTCAGTAGTTTCCGAGTCTATAGGGGGCAAACAAACACACAAACATTGATTTTTATATATATAGATAATTCTGTGGCAAACAAACTAACAACTAAAATCACAAAGTTTCAGGTAATTTTCAAAATATATAAATGGTTATGTCATCACCTTCTTTTGCAGCTTTTGCAATGTCAACAATGTTGGTGACATTTGGTGTTAGTTTTGCAAAGAATGGAATCGTTACAGCCCTTCTCACCCATAAACATATATTTTTCACAAGCTCTGGATCCTGTAAGAAAACAGATTGATCATTAGTATTTAAATGCTAGATCTTTCAACATTAGTATATAAATTTTTTAAACTAAAAAATGTCTTACTTTAGACTGTAAACATTTATTTCAGATCTTTTTAATGTCTTTTCTATTTTTTATACTGGTGGCATATAAGGAAGCTTTACATTAAAAAAATACCATATTCTTAAGAGTGGATTTGAATGTTATGTGTACGTGTGCGTGCATGCATGCATGCATGTGTGTGTGCGTGCGAGCGTGCGTGCAAGTGAGCGAGCGAGCGTGCGTGCGTGCGTGTGTGTGTGTGTGTGTGTGTGTGTGTGTGCATGGCACATTCTTTTCTCCATAGACTCTTGTTGGTCTTTGTTGGTCTTGTCATAAAATGTGTTAGCTTAATTTTAATGAATGAATACAAACAACAAAGCAGTCACAACTATAATTGTTCAGGTCACAGGGAAAAGAAGCATGACCTCTTTTAACCATGTCAACCGGTTAGTGCCGAGATCACAGCTGGTTGGTTTTTTAGACATTATGAGTTTAGGCAGTGATCAAAACCTTTTCTAGCCAAAGGGGAGGAAAGCAGTTAATTCTATGCTCTGTTTGTATTTACTGGAGTGCGAGGGAATAAAAGAGCGGATTATCTGGCTACAAAAGCAAAAGCTACGGGAACACTCGTACCTGACAAGGGAGATATTCTGAAGACCATATATGAACTACTGTGTGTGAACAAGGAATTAAATGTGTATTTAGCAAGGAGGGACGAATGAGAGGAAGAGATCTGCGTGTGTATAATCAGTGTGCTACGGGAACAGTTAGTATCTACACCTTACATCATTTGCTGCTGGAGGCGGAGTATCTATGGATATGTCCGGTGTGCTATGATGTTGATTCTTAAATCAGTACTCAATAATCCCTTTCCCACATTTGTTACATTTGTGTGTGACTTGAGGAGGTGGTTGGGGGGGGGGGGGGGGGGGGGGTATATGAATGATATTGCAGTAGCTAGTAAGCTTGCCTGTCTGCTCAGTGGTTATAGATTTTAGCCCCTAGACTTTTTTTTTTAAAATACAAACTGACAAAGACTTTAAATTTCTTCTGCTTCTTTTTTTTTTTTCTTTTTCTTATGTGTCTTAGGGCAGAGGTTCAGAAAATGTGTTTCATTTAAACGCTGTAAAAAAGGATCAATTTTTAAGATTTTTATAGGGCAAAAAGGATAATGATGCCTAGCAATTGTATTTTTGTAGTTTTTATAAAAGCCTCAATGGCTTTGAAATACGGAAAACTGATAAATTTGATTGTGGAAAACCTAAGACTTTGAGACATGATGTTACTGGAAAATTACAAGAACCAGATGAACTGAAATAAATTACAAATTAACATTGCTCTTGAACACTGAATGGAGCAGACAATTAAAGTGCCATAAATAATTTTTGTTTTAAATTAAATCCCCCAAAAAACTTTTTCTTTGTCACATCATAAGCTATTAGGAAGCACTAAACAGAGTACAAGAAGACAAAATATTCAATAAAGAGAATGGTGTAAACCAAGAATAAACATAAGGATGCACACATCTCACTAAAGAAATGGAACAAAATTAAAATGCATTCAAAACCAAATGCCTAAGGAAAATTATGAATATTAGATGGAATGAATTCAATAAAGGTGAAGAAATAAGATAAATATCTGGACAAATGTTGGTACAGTTTTTTTGTAGGCACCTTTCTATCTTTTCAGTCAATATTGTGCTATGAAGAGGCATGGGACCCACAGCCCATGGCTTTCTCCTCTTCACAGCACAAATCCTGGGCAGTATTGTAGAGACCATGTGTCGACCATGCATCATGATTTCTTCCTCGGCCTGCCTTGTTTACTCAAAAGGAAAGGTTACACCAGTACATTTAGAACAAAGCATGTTGCAGAAACTGCTGGATCAAAAAAAGCAGTGGCCTGTCCGCATGTCGCAGCTTCCCTTTTAGACCAGCTGCCAGCCAAGGCAAAAGGCCTGGCCTTTATAAGACAAAGAAAATGGTGATATACTGGTCACATTCTGAGTAGAAGCAATTGGAGATTCACAAAACAGGTACTTAAATGGAGAACAAATGGACTGTGGAAATGAGGACGTCTGAACACTTTTGAGAGAGGCCAAAGGTGTTTAACTGGATTCCACCATGCTATTGAAACAATTTCACAGGTTAGAACAGAAGGGAAGATTCAACTACAAACTTAGACAATGTATAACGGCCCAATGGCATGATGATGATTATGCACACATCTATCAATACAGAATAAATGCAATTAAAAAACTGGCACAAGACAGTAAACTAAAGAATATAATAATCAGAAAGCATTATAACCAGCTCAAGAGAGGAAGTAGTTTACTGTGAACATTGACACAAAAACATCTCACTTACCTGGCCACAAGCTAATCCCATCCCTCTCTCACCCATACCATGAGGGCATGACAGATTCAGTTCTAAGGCATCTGCACCTGCTTTCTGGAATAGTTTAAAATAAAAAAAAAATTCAATTACACTACTTCCATAAATAATAAACACGTAACTGAGTCTGGTGTGGCAGCTAGATGCTTGCCTGCAGATTCCAAGGTCATGGGTTCGTGTCCTGATGGAGCCAGACATTTTTTTTAAAATGACCCTGGCTTCCAGGTCAACCCAGCCTTAAATGGGTACCAGGTAAAGTCCTGGGAAGTAAAGATGGCTGATGTGATGTTGACCTCATAACCCACTGAATGCCAACAGGTTTATAAAATATAGGTCTAGCCCTATAATGCCTGACGGCTTGGAAAAGGTTCCTTTAATTGAGTCTAAGCCTGGCTCACTAGTGTAGTTGGTTAAACTTGACTGCACGGCTGCTAGGTGATGAACTCCATGTGGTCCGGGTTAACGCCTGGGGTTAGGCAGAAAAGCCACAATTCTCCCATACTTAAGGTATCTTTCATGGAATCAAGGCTGAGGATTGCGATATCCATAGTACCGAGCCAAAGGGTTAACAACTCATGGTTTCTAGATATTTTTTTTAAAAAATGGAGCCTAAAAGGTAAACAGATTATTAGTTGTTTAAATATGGATTACAGAATACTGCCTCATCTTTGAGAAATAAATATTACAGAAACCATCAAAGTACAGACCTACAAGCATTCTAGCACAATCACTCTATTAAACAGTACTAAAGCTGTCATATAGGTGTAGCTATAACTGGCTAAAGCTGTAATGTCCAAACATGCCACCAAACCCAAGGAGCATTAATATCAGCACTCACAGGATGACAGGGTTTATAGATTAAATACTAAGTTATTTCATCTAATTTCAATTTTTTTGACATTTCTTCCCCACACAAATGTTGAATTCACCAACTTTTTCCCTTCAACAAATTTGAATTTGTTTACTCCCATTACAGGCTATTACTTTAACCAGCTAAGACTCATATGTTATTTTAATTCTTGTTGATAAAAAAAAATTTCACTATCTTAAAATAACTTATACCTGGGAGAAAGAGCGCTGAAATTAAAAATGAAATCTAGGCTAAATTACTCCCCAAAAAAGGGGGACTTTTGCCACCTAAAAAAACCTACTTGAATAAAATTCACGAGTTTAAATGTTCTTGATTTTGAGGAAAGAAAAACCAACTATAAAAGAGGTTATGTGCTTCAATTAGACAGTATTAATACAGAGAAGAAAAAAAACTATTTTACTTACTTCTGCCATTTGAGAGAGTTCTGTCCAGTCTGCCTCATTGTAACCACACATAATACTGGCTATTAAAATCTGAAAAATGCATTATATAAGCCACAAATATTTTAAAGCTGTTTTGGCATGAAGATGTTAAATATACATTTGAACAAACAGCTTTTAGCATTATAATGATTTAGCATCAGTCATTAACATTTTAATGTATATACACAAACACTCATGAATATACAGTAATAGATATAAATACCTATTCTTTCATCATGTATTTGTCAGATATACATATATAAAAACTCACAAAAATCCTATATTACATGACCTGAGTGTGACTTGTATATGGATTGTGCTAACTATGTACAGAACAGTCCACATTCTGGTGATCTGGTCAATATTAAATTAGCTGTTTTTGCTTTTATGAACATTTTCTGGTGCCCATTTTTTAGGCTGGACTGACCAGGTAATTTCTAAAACAAAGAAAAAGGGGATTCAAACTTAGGATTATCCAATTGGGAGGCAAGACTACTAGCCACTGCACCACTGAGGCTCCTTAATAATTGCAATATCAAAAAATGAAGCTGTCATTTGAACATTGAAGCAGAAATCAATCACACAGTTCCTACTCCTCCTCCTCCTCCTCTTCTTCTTCTTCTTCTTCTTCTTCTTCTACTTCTTCTTCTTCTTCTTCTTCTTCATCCATAAAAATGGCAGTTGGCATGTTGTCTTGTGGTTTACAGCCAAGATGTGATATCTGCACATTAAGGCCCGATACATCTGATTTCAGTAAAATCCTAACAAGTCAGCTTTTATGACTAGCTTGTCAGATCACAGTGCGATCATTCTTTATCCCCTTAAATCGGGCACCAGCACCCATTAGGCCCACTGTTTTCTTTATATTTATTTTTTCACATATTAGCAGGTACAATTTTACAATCAATTTTTGTCACAAGGTTTTAAAGAAATCTCCACTAAACAGCGGCGTGATGCTGATCACATGATCACCCATCTTGTGCCGATTGGTCTATAAAATATAGGTCCAGCCCTTTATGCCCTATACGCCTAAAGGTGTGGAAAAGGGTCCTGTACTTTTACTTACTTTCCACTAAACAGGACTGATTCCTTTATTTTACTCTATAAGATAATTATCCACACATTTCAAAAACAAAATTTAGTCATACCTTATCTGGAAAATCTGCCTTGAGTTCGCTGATACTGCGGCACCAATAGGCAGCAGTCTTCTCACTAATTAATTCTATGTTAAGGAATGAACTTTGACCTGGGCCATACACATGACCACTGGTGGTGCCTCGAACAATACGTGGTGATACATTGGTTACTATGTCCTAGAATTAAAGAATGCAGGAGAGGTGAAATAACACTTTATTTAACCAACTTGATAACACAATAAATCAAGACGGACTACATTGCATTATTTTGTAAATGAAAAGTAAAAAGGAAAGAATCATTTTCACGTCAGTGGTACATGGGAAGTACGATGCCAGACTCATCTTTTTTTATAGATCAAACAGTACTTGATAAGTGATGTTGTCAACATCAAGCCAGCCACCGTTACCTCCAAGGATCCTGGTACCCATGTTAGTTAGGCTTGGTCGGGGTGACAGACAATTCATTATAAATGTTGAATTACAAATCAACATCATAGCTCCCATAAGCGCTGTGTCTCCCAACTTCAGAAGAGTTCCAGTTGTGATGGCTTCAGTATATGTCTGACTGTATATCTTTCTCGCCTTTCCCTTGAGTTTTCAGCATCAGTCAGATCCACTTGTAAATCGTTGCACTGCCATTCTCCTTAGACCATAATGATCTATCTGTGCTTCTGCCCTCTTTACTCACTCCCAAAGAGCCATCACAACATCTAGCTTGTCATACATAAATTCACCACTAAGTGGTGCGCAACCAGCCAGTCTATCTGCCTGCTCATTTCCCCACACACTGGCATGACACAGAGAAAATATTCAAAGGATGCTAACCACCTGGGACATATAGCTGCTGATATACCAACTAGCCCAATATGTGGAGTCCATCTAGGATGGACAATAAGCTTAAACAGGAGAGGCAAGGAAAATTTTAAGCCTGTTATGTGTATCCCTTCTCTTTTAAAATGTACTCTTAGTCTAAATATACAAGTAAGGAGGTGTTATAATGTCATTTACATATATAAAATGTTCTCTAATTTTAGAGTTATAATCTTTATTTTGATTTTTTTTTCGGTCATGGTATGAATCAGTGAGCCAGGTGTTGTCTTGGCTATAAAGGCGGGCTAAAAACGGATCTTCAGCACTGTTTCTTACATATTGTTGTTTGACCATCCCTAGTTATTATCCTTTCACTTATATTGCTATTTCTTGTTCACCTGCTTTCTACTTTTCTCTGTAAATAGTTTTTAGAAGAGTGTTATTTTAGTCAATAGGGCTAAAATAATTTTTTTTCCTTTTTTTTTCTTTAATCTTTCTTTCAATTCCATCTCTCCAAAACCTCCCTTGATTTGTTTTTATGTGTCACATTATGAAGTTCTTTATCTAAACATAATTAATAGTATAGACACTGCCACTGCAAACCAAAGAATATAATCAAGAGAAATATTTTTCTTATGCTTACTTTATCAAGAGCAAATGTTTTGGTCAAAGCAAAACTCCAACCAGCTTGGAATGCTCTTCTGATCATTGGACTACTTGTTGTGGGAGTGGCTGATGCTAGCCCAAAAGGATGGGAGAACCGGATACCACACACTTCAACAGAAATATCTACCAGGTCTATGGGTGTATGAAAGTTTGGAAGATTTGGAACAGATGATGTGCTCAAACTGTAGATACCCTGCAACATAATTTAGACTTTTACAAATCTATAATGATGTAAAAGCAATTTACAACAACAAAAGAGTATAATTTTGAAAATGATTAAGCTTTAAACATAGATAATATGATAAATTATTTTAATGTCTGGTAGTCTGGTCTGGTAGTCTTAGTTTCAGCTTTATAGCAAACGGGTCACCCCATCTTTGCTCCGCTCCTGTGCCAACAAAAAACACTCAGAATGTTTATCACAGTCCCTTATGGAAAGATTGACAGACTGCTGTCTTAGCATATCTAGTATACACACACATTAAAGCATACAGTAGCCATCCGAAGTGCTGACACAAATAGTCCGACATTAGAAATGCAGTTCATCATTGATGGTAGCAGAAGTCACCAACAGACCAGCAGTTGCCCACACCATCAATTTCAATCACATACGGGCAGCACCAACATTGTGATGACAGGGATCGCACCATTTTCTGAATGTTTTAATGCAATTGTTATGTGATTACTAGATCATATTTAACTTCCGCCAAAGAAAGTTACAGGATAAAATAAAGGTAATTAGAAATTTAATTCAATGAGATGAATTTAAATATAACCCACCAGCAACAGAATAGACACAAATTTGAACTAATTACAACGATGTGACATCTGTTTACAAATAAAGTATACTGTGAACATGACAAATCTGTAGACAACATGAATATCATAAGTTGTTTACATTTAAAAAAAAGAATTTTAAAACTAAGTTAATCAAATGGGAACCTGTGTTTAGGATGACCATGGAGAGCTGTAGATAGGTCTTGACAAATATGAGCCCCAGTGCTGGTATAGTACTCCTTGTGGTCAGCACCAGGGCGACCTAAATACAGCCTAAAAGATATCATCATTAACACACACACATAGGAGAGATTAGCTGCAGATCGACTCATTTAGACACAGTTTGAAAGAGACAATATGCAGCAAGCCATATATAGGAGACGACTGAGAAAAACCCAGCCTCAGAACAAAAGAGTATCAACATTTGTATGTGGACTATGTGGCAGTGACTGCCTCTCCCATGTTGGACTTTACAGACATAGCAGAGGATGTTCCCAAAACCCACTCCGTGGTCCCCAGGGACTGATGGTTGCCTAGCCAACAAGCATTAAGAACATTACTTACAAACAACTTTTTCACACTTTGTTTCTCTTGCTTCCAGCGAACATTTAAGACAAATCACACAACAAACATAACAAGTCTATCACCTGCAAATATTTGTGCATATGCCAGGCGGCAACTTTGCCATCATTGACTGACTCCACTGTTGTCTGGGCAACACCAGCAATATCACCACCACAGAAAACGTCTGCCTCACTGGTGGCCATTGTTGTAGCTTCCACTTCAGGAAGGCCCCATCTGTTGAGTCTGACAGGATGCAGAGCTTTCTTGACTGTAATGAAAGCAAATATATATATATACATGACAAATTATTTTTATAGTTACTTAAAACAATTATTAGACGATTTCAAGGTAAGTCTCCACTATGACAAAAAGCAGGACATGAATGATACAGGTATTGAGGCAGATTCAGGGGGAAGAGAATGCCAAGAACTTTGCTGCTGCATGGAGGAAGGAAACCAAGAGAGGAGTTGGAATAAAGAAGAAAATAATTGCAGACAGGTTAAGAGCTGAGTGTCTGAGAAAAAACCCATGAAATGCATAGGATTGCAACAATGCTCAAATTTTGGAAGGAATTCTAGGGAAATTTGACTAAAAAGCTTAACCAAATGGGAAAGCAGAAAAACGTGCACACAACAACACAAATAACGTAATGTTTCGGGCGGACAGCCTTTGTCAAACATGAAGTGAACAACACAAAGGTAACAATGAGGAGAGGAGAGTATACAGATCTCTATGGGGTGATGTGAGCTAAAAAAAAATATAGTCGCAAAAAATAAAAAGTAATTTTGTTAATATATAATAATAGTGGGAACAAAAGAAATACAAATGTTAAAGATACGTAACGTAAATGATGCTGATAAGAGAGATAAAAGAAAAGAAAAGAAAAAACATGTTAAATGTGATAAGAGTAAAACTGTTTAGATGAAGGTATGTTGGATATTGATACCACCTGGACTAAGAATGCCTATGCTGTGGATCAGGCGATTTTCCAAAGCGAGGCGCAAAGTATGATCGCCAGAGCAAGATTTTAATGCTGTGACAGACACATCATCTTTATCTCTGTGGTCAGAGCTGTTAAAACTTATCAGTATCATTTATGTATCATTAACATTTGTATTTCTTTTGTTTTCACTGCTGTTTGTTTGAATTCATCGGCTGTAAACCCTGGCGGAAAGACCTGGTTATTCGTCCATTTCAGTGCTTTGTTCCAGGCCCGTTTTGTGTGTACATCTGCTTTACAGATTTTGCTTATTTGTAAGCATACTGTTGGTTCTTTGCCTCTCAGGAAGATGCACTCCGATTTTGAAGGAAGCCCCAATTAGTTGACTCTTACAACATGCTTGTTGAAGAGGAAGTGAGTCTATTTTTTTTTTCAACAATGGGACCCCAGAATCCACACAGGGAAGAAAGGTTGTAATATGGGATTAAATGGTCAATAAAGTTGATCCTCAAACCAACCCTAGATCTGTATTATACACTTAATCCCTCCATTGTTATATGAACTGTGTGGCTCATAATAAAATAAAACAGAAAAAAAAAATTAAATGCACATATTCAAACATTGCAGTTACTTCACAGTAATGCCCTACCCTGTCTGGACTTCAAGTTACTTTGTAATTGTCAGGGGGGCTAAAATAACCTAATGGTTGAGTGGGGATTCTGGGATTTGTACTCTGGGGAATTCTCATCTGAATAGTTACTCTTTGGGTCACTGGGTATTATTCGCTCAGTAGGCAGTTGTGGTGGGGTTCGCCCTCGCCCACTCACTTCAAATCAGATTGGTTTGCAGATTAGAATGTCCCTGCTTTGGAACCCACAGGACCAATGAAATAAAGGGAGTCCAAAAACTCGTGGAGAAGAGATTTAAAGAGTGAGATGAATAAAATGGGGAGGAAGAGGGAAGGGGGTCGGGGCCGGGTGCTTCCTTTAATGGCAATGGACAGGAGAGCTTGGAGCGAGTTGTTTGAGAGCCTTTGTTCCAGTAGTGGAAAAAAGGGAGTTGATAAAGATTATTATTTTGCAGTGAGTTTAAAACATGGTGACTAGGTTGTTAAGTGCTAGTATAATAATTTTAAAGTTTGTTGTTCAGCTCCCTAAAGTTGCTTATACGCAATCCAATCAATACCAACCCAACCAACCTCTACCCTTTTCTCTATCCTAGCGTTATATTTCTTTTAAAATATTATTTGATATGCCTTTTTTTCTTCTTTTCCGTCTTCTTCTTTTTCAACACTTTCTTCTTCTTCTGTGTTTGTTCTTAAAGGGGCAATTGGGACATCATGTTGTCAATTTCTGCACCTGTCAGCAAATCCTAAATTATTTGCCATTTATGACATGTTTGTTGGGAGGCTATGGGTCTTCTCTTCCCCCACTCCAGCCCCTTTCCATCAACTCCTCACCATAGGGCCACAGACTAAAACAAGGATTAAAAACCAACTTGAGATAATCCTACTTTTTAAAAAAAAGTGAGTCATAAATACATACTTTCTTCATCAGTGATTCCTGAGCCAAATGCTGATATAACAAAGTCCACTTTCAGTTTCACAACTTGCTCCTCATCTTCTATCCACTGCCCATCTTCATCCTGTTCTGTTCTCAGAAACTTCATGCTTGCTATCCTACCATTTTGTACAATCACTTCTTTAGGAGCCAAAAATGGCAGAAACTCACATTTCTCCTCCTTTGCTAGCTCCATCTGTACAAAAAAAGGAATGCATTTTTGTTATCCAATTTAATAAATAATTCTAGGTTGCCCTTTGATAAAAAATACTATTCTGTGTCTCATTTGTTATAAAACTAACTCTTCTTCTTCTTCAGCATTTTAAGCCTCTGAGGTTTTTTGCTGCAAATATCACCCACTCCCATCCATCTCTTTGACTGGCCTTCTCTTTCCAATTGGTGACCAACAGTCTGCATTTAAATAAATCTGATCTGTAAAATGGATGTGCATGCAAAACTCAAGATCCGGAACAAGACCGAAGTTCAGAAGTGGACGAACAACCAGAACTTTCTAGCAAACAGCGGATGAACACTAGGAAGAAGAAGTTCTACAAGCTTCAGAATGGTAAACATTTTGTTTTGAATTTTATGTAGAGTGTGTCATTTAGACAGCGGTTCTCAACCTGTGGGTCACGACCCTTTTGTGGGTTGAACAACCCTTTCACAGGGGTCACCAGATACCATCGGAAAACATGTATTCAATGTAGTTATGAAGCAGCAACGGAAATAATTGTATTTTTGGGGGGGTCGCCACAACATGAAGAACTGTATTAAAGGGTCACTGCCTTAAGAAGGTTGGGAGTCACTACATTAAGAAAATATGAAGTAAAACTGAGCACTTTTCTTTAAATGTATGTTAACCCACCATATCTTAGTTGTTCCTTTAACCATGTAGTATTTAAGTGTCCACTTTATATACTAGAATGAATTCAAGTAACCACTGACTGGGGCCGAAACAGTAAACATATTTCGATACATAATATTTATCTATTCTCTAAACTTACATACCTCCTCTGGTACAGCTCGGATGTTAGTAAACCCTTTACGAAACACAACAAAAACCTTCCTGGCTCCACATCTCAGTGCTGAAGTAGCACAGTCAAATGCTGTATCACCTGCCCCCAGAACCACAACATTACCAAACAAGCCTGGAAGCTGGGACTTGCATGCACACATCCCTGTAGAAGAGAGACAGGATCAGTAACACAAATAGGAAACAAATATAAATGGCATCAGAATTAATTTATTTGATTTGATTTGATTCAAGAACCAACATCACAGCACTCGGGGCATTCCCATAAGCGCTCCGTCCCCATCTTCAACAGCCAGCGAAGAGTTCAGATACTAATGGTGCCAGTAGCATTCTGATTAAACCTCCGTCTTGTCTTTCCTCTGAGCCTCGGGCATCTGCCAGAACCTCTTGTATATTATTATCAGTATTAGATTTGGAGGAAAGAGAATGGCAGAGTTCCTTAGATTAAGAGGATAGAGATGGGCAGAGTTCCTTAGGACATCCTCTGTGGTGAATCACAAATGGGTAGAAGATGCTGAATTCAGCTTCTACTACTAAAAGTGAGACCTGAATAATACAGGTATTGAGGTAGATTAATAGACATTAATTACATGCGATGGCAACACTGGTCCTGAAATCTGGCGATCTAATTTTGAAGACTTTTCATAAGGTGAGCTTGTCACACCTTCCATCACCATGAGCTGTGATTCCCATGTCCCACATATAGCAAAATATAATACTATCATCTGAAAAGGTGCCAACAACAAGTGTTAGACCGTATTTAAACAAATAATAAAAAAAATTATATATAATCTATTCAGCATGATGCTTTGACAGCGTGATGCTGACCACATCACCCACCAAGTTCCGATTGGTCTATAAAAATATAGGTCTAGCCCTATATTCCCCATATGCCTAAAGGCGTGGAAAAGGGATCTTTACTTTACTTATGATTCTTTGGCAAACAAAACATAATTCGTCTGATATCTGAAGCTAAAGTCATGAAAAAATTATGATTCATATACCTGCTTTACTAGCTTCAGTTACTCTTGGAAGGAAATCTTTGGAGGTAAAAAAGCCTTGATCTTGGGAAAGATCTCGGAAGATATCAATTTTCTTGGGGTCAGGAAGCCCTGGAAAAAAACAAAGATACAATTATTTTTACAATTCATATGAGTCAAGAATAAAAAGAAAAAAAGTAATTAATTGAATATACTCAGTAACACTGTAGTGAGAAACCCCTGTGATTAATGCACTCATTTTTTTCTTCTTAGCGTTTCCTGGCTGTGAACTTTGACAGTTCCAGCTGTTCACCCATTTCTGAACATTGTTTTTGTACCAGAGATTGAGTTTTGCATGCACATCCATTCTTAAGATCTGGTCACGTGATGAATCACCATCTAGGAATATAATGAATCACCATCTAGGAATCTAATGAATCACCATCTAGGAATCTAATGAATCGCCATCTAGGAATCTAATGAATCGCCATCTAGGAATCTAATGAATCACCATCTAGGAATCTAATGAATCACCATCTAGGAATCTAATGAATCACCATCTAGGAATCTAATGAATCACCATCTAGGAATCTAATGAATCGCCATCTAGGAATCTAATGAATCACCATCTAGGAATCTAATGAATCACCATCTAGGAATCTAATGAATCACCATCTAGGAATCTAAAGGATCCTTTTCCACGCCTTCAGGTGTACTGGGCATAAAGTACTAGACCTATATTTTATAGATCAGTCAGCGTTCGGTGGGTGATGTGGTCAGTCAGCATTCGGTGGGTGATGTGGTCAGTCAGCATTCGGTGGGTGATGTGGTCAGTCAGCACTCGGTGGGTGATGTGGTCAGTCAGCATTCGGTGGGTGATGAGGTCAGTCAGCATTCGGTGGGTGATGTGGTCAGTCAGCATTCGGTGGGTGATGTGATCAGTCAGCACTCGGTGGGTGATGTGGTCAGTCAGCACTCGGTGGGTGATGTGATCAGTCAGCACTCGGTGGGTGATGTGGTCAGTCAGCATTCGGTGGGTGATGTGGTCAGTCAGCATTCGGTGGGTGATGTGGTCAGTCAGCATTCGGTGGGTGATGTGGTCAATCTCCATGATTTTACCTGGTACCAATTTAAGGCGGGGGTTGACCTGTAATTTTTGCAAAATAGTTTGGCTCCATTCGAATTTGAACCCACAACCTTCAGATCCACAGGAGAATGTCTAGCCACTATGCCACGGTGGCTTCTTGCCATCAATTTAGGGATTTGTTTACACATTTTACATGTTGTCTTCAGTCCTTCATATTAATTATGGGTACTAGAAAATTTTCTCGACAGGTAAAGTATGCGGCATGATAATGACCACATGATACATTGAGCACCGACTGGACTATTTAAAAATGGAAAGAACCATATACTGAATACAACTAAGTCTTTGAAAAATGGTCCTTTATTTATTTATTTTATATTTAAAAATGTAGCTTTGAAGCACATCCGTCAGCTTTTTTCTGTGACACCCCTGTGACATGAAGGGTTGAATCCTGAATGTCATTCTAGAAAGACAAACTCTGAACCTCAAAGTCCTAAGAAATTATTACTTAAGCTACAGGAAGTACTACTCTGGTATACTTTGCTGTTCTAGGCAGGCAGGGAGATGTATGTATCTTTGAAAAACATAATGAAAATATCCAACTTTAAACTTACAATATAATGAACAACTAATATGGACATAAATATAATACATCAGCAAGTCCACATCTTTTCAGAGTAAAATGTGCTCCATTTACAAGAGAACAAAAAGAAGTAACATAGATAGAAAATTAACAAATTTAGAATGATAGAAAAATTATTTTTACCAATGCCAACAAAAATAGCTTGATAACCTTGCTGTCTCAAAGATGTAATTGTTATATCATTCTTGTGTAGAGATCTCCCTGTGTTCACCTAAAGAGGAAATAATTTGCACAAAATAATTGTTGCTATGAGCAAGAGTTTGTTTCTTCCTCCTCCTCTTTATTTTTGTCCTATTGCTTCTTCTTAGTCTCATTTTGCTTCTCTTGTAGCCTGTGGTGTACAGATAAACTATAAACAATGAGAGAGTGCGTGCGTGCGTGCATTACTCCTTGGGGCTCCCACGAACTCTCTTAAGTCCATTTATTATTATTATTACAGTAAAGATCCCTTCTCACGCTTTTAGGCACATCGGGCTTATGGGAAGAGCATCTGTCGCGTGCCGATGTGCACCAGAATGCACCAGTACTGAGTGAGCAAATAAGACGTCAAAACAATACGTCAGGTTGTGAAGGGATTGCATTCTAGGAGATGAAAGTCGAAGTTTGACCAAGGCGAACGTCTGGTCCGGCCTTGGTGTGGATCCTTGAGGATGCTTTACCCCGGGATGCCACAGATGGAATGTTAATCAATTGGATCCTTGAGGTTGCTTTACCTCGGGATGCCACTGAAGGAATGATAATCAAGTTGGATCCTTGAGGATGCCTTACCCCGGGATGCCATGGTAAGAGTTGATGTTTACAGTCCGAAGGAGATGGACGTGTGGATCCTTGAGGACGCTTTACCCCGGGATCCCACGGAAGCAAACATTATATACAGTTGGATCCTTGAGGACGTTTTACCCCGGGAATCCAATATAGACCTTAGCAGAAAGCTGGTATATTAACACAGTTTGGCAGTAAGCCGGTATACCTTCATTACTTAATTCAGACTGCGGAACTGAAGACAAAGATTACTGTCTGGATCTCAAGGTCGGACTGCGACCTATCGTGAGGACATACCAGTCCATGGATGTATGAGTGGGCTTTTGTTGATATGCTTGAATGAGTCTTGATTAGTAATTGCACATTTTCTCCTTGTGTTGATCATTACTATTGTCAATACACAAATGGAACCTTTAAAAAGAGTTCTCGTTCCACTATGTTTGGAAGCTTCAACATTCATCAAGTTGTGTTACTCTTGGCCAGTGGCATGTTAAGTGTTGATGCCATTTGTTACATTGCGACGCCCCTAGTCACCGTTTGTACGCTCATCACAATGAAGCATACGCCCGTCACAGCATCCATATTTTTTTACAGACCAATCGGCACTAGGTAAGCAACGTCGTCAGCATTACGCTGGCAGTCTTTACTTCCCTAGAACATCCATCCTGGTACCCATTTTAGGCTGGGTCGACATGCAACGCCCTTACCATGATGAAAATCCGCGCAGCCAGCAGTGAGTTTCGATCGCAGTATGTTGGAATTACGAGTCGGACTCCCAAAAGCCTAAGCCATGGACGCCACCTTATTATTATATTATTATTATTATTATTCAGTCCTTAAATTTCAAAATGGAGCAAAGGTTCTCAAACAGCTTATTTCAAGCCCTAAGTAAACATGTTCATCTTCTTCTTTTTGATCCTTCTGCCTGAAAACTTAAATCAGAAGGCCAGCAGTAACTGTCATGAAGTCCGAATCTCCATGTGCACCATACAGCGTTGCCTTGGCTGAGGCGGGAACAGGTCAGATTACTTCTTTGTTAGCAGCACGCAATTTACAGTTTTGGAGTATATTCTCAGGGCCAGGCTGCTAGGACACATCTCCATGTTTCTAATACTGAAAAACTTAACCATATGTTGGTGAAGTCTACAGTGCCTGTCCTTAGTATGATTATCATGCATCATTCCTCTAGACAGGAGATGGCCATCTTTCTTGGATACTAGCTTTTACTAATTATCTTCTTTTTTTTCATCTTCCTCTTTGCATTCACTTGCTGTAAAGTCCAAGGCAACGTTTTGGTTGTTCATCAACTTCTGGATTTTAGTTTTTTCCAGAACTTGAGTTTTGAATGCACATCCATTTTACAGATCTTCCTTCTCTGTATGCAGACTATTGGTTCTTCACCTCTCTGGTAGATGCACTCTGACTGTGGAGTAAACACCCTTAATTAGTCACCTTTTGTGACAGCTTTTTAGTGGGGCAGTGGGTTTAATCTTTTTTTTTTCTCTCATCAAAATGGAGCCTGCAGCCAACAGAGAGATGATGTAACATGACTTGTTGAATTTTTAAAATCAAGTTTTCTACAAGATAAGGTAACCAGTCTTATTCCAATCCTCCCTAATTTCTTTTTATGACAAGCATGGTAGTATAGATCATTACTGCCTTTACTTTCATCTACATGTAATTAATATAGCCAGAAGTTAGGAGGAGGAAGATTCTGGAAACATTACCTCTTATAATTATTTATATTATTACTGCAAAGGCCAACACATCCTTACATATATAACGCTCCCCTCCTTGGCTGATTTGTAAATGCTAGCAAAGTTTTTGTTTAAGCTAGTGTGTAGTAATAATAAATGACCAACAGACACAGAGAAGCAATACCTTGACTCCAAGATCTTTCATCAGCTCTACTTCAAATTCCACAACATTATAGGGTAGACGATACTGAGGGATTTCTGAAGAGCTGCAAGATAACAATCAACAGATGAACCATGAGTTGAACCAACAAGGTTAAAGAACTACAGCCCAGCTCGCTAGCATAGCTGGTTAAACCTGACTTCGCGGTGACTGGGTGACAAACTCCTTGTGGTCCGGGGGTAGGCAGAAAAGCCACATTTCTCCTAGATGTACGGTATCTACCATGGAATCACGGCCGAAGTGTTGCGATATCCATAGTTCTGAGCCAAAGGGTTAACAACTTATGGTTTCTGGATACTTTAAAAAAAAAAAGAACTAACACTATAAATCATAAACTACATGTATTATTTGTCTCTTTTTTTTTTAACCTTCAGGCTGCTGATTGAAGGTGTCAACATGCCTGAAATTTCAAGAGTTTTATCCTAGATGGCAAATCCAAGATACCCTGTTCAACCTCTCAGGAAGTTATAATTAGGACACTCATAATGGTTACACCAAATACTCTCCTGGTGTTTTCTGTTGACCGGTATGGATGAAGAGTGTTGTTACTGTTACATATAATATGAGACAATTTTTCAACAGAGATAATATGAAAGTCAACTATTATGGGTTTAAAATTTACAATTAGTTAAAAGTACTTTTTAAAAGAGATCTTCTTGATACTCACTGGTTGTAAATGCTGGCTGAAAGTTATGGTTGTTACTCCACTTCTGAACTTTAGTCTTATAGTAGTAGTACATTTTACCCCACTAGGACATCACACAAGCGATAAACACCCGATGACACAAAGTGCCACCATGCGGATGAGGATCACATGTGGAGAGGTCCCGAAAACCATCTTCAGCCATTAGGCCATATTTATGGCCGAGCTATATTGCCCCCCCCCCCCCTCCCCCCCCCTTCCGGCAAAAGCCAGGGTGTGGTTTCAAAATAACGAAAAATTGCATCCCACAAGGGAATTAGAGCAATGATATTTAGTCTTGTTCCAGAACCCGAGTTTTATATGCACATCAGTTTTACAAATCTGGCTTATACATGCAGTTGGTTATTGCCTCTCAGGAAGATGCCCTCCAGCTTCAAAGGAAACACCCCTAATGAGTCAACTTTTATTAGATGCTTGTTGGGTGGGAAGATCCTGGAATCCACATGGGAAAAAAATATACCTGTTAGTAAAAGTCCATAAGACCATGTTTTGAGGTGATTTATGCATAAAATGCTTTCACTAGTTTTAAAGATCGTAGCATTTTATAGGTCATGTGATTAATATTATACTCACTGCCTTTGCTTTCCAGTACATATATAGGCCTCCATTTTAGACTGAATGACCTAAGAGATCATTCTCTTTTTATCACAATGTTGATTCTAACCTATAACCCTTGGGCCAACAGGCGCTTATGATAGCCACTTAGCTACCATCATTTCCTGTATAAGAACAGCATCATCATCATCATCATAATGTGCCCTGCAAAGGCGTAGGCGCTCATGCATCTCCATAGATCAGGATCCCTGGTTGCCTGGAAGAGCTCTCCAGCATCATCTCTCTTGGTCTGCCTTTGCCCCTTTTCCACTGATCTTTCCAGTTGCCACAATGCTCTCCAATGTCTGTCTTCTCATTACGTGGCCAAACAACAGTGTTTGTCTCTTTCTTATTGCTGCATATAGAGATATACTTTTATTAGCTTCTTTCAAACAATAATTATTAGTTTTTCTTTCCATCCAAGGTATTTGTAGGACTGAACCACAAGAGGCAGGGTGTGAGAAGTGTTGGTGTTGTGGGAAGTGTTCCCTACCCTTTCTTCGTCCTAGGTCTAGTGAATATCTGTTCATGAAAGGAGCGTTCATTGCGGTGTCAGCCTCTTGACCTAGCAAAACCTCTCTTACCTCAAGACCATTGTGCGTGGCGAAGAGTCACAGCCTACCCGAGGTAGTCCTGGTAACTGGGGGTGCGAATCCCCAGGCAAAACACAATGGATCTAGAGGAGCAAACCTTGATAATAAACCTGGTGCACCACACCGTACTGCCCCCTGTGAGAGGAAAGGAGCCAGAGGTGTGCTGAACAGTCTTAGGAATGGAAACAAGTATGCTAACCCCCCTGAATACCGGAAACTATCGTGAAGGCACAGGGACTCAGGACGTGACGATCCAGTTGCCCCAACTACTCATGCTTAGGCCATGCTTAGAGCCATGAAGATCTTAGCGAAACCAGCAGACAATCTGGTGGCGGAGAATGAGCATACTGTGAGCCCCACCTTAGCTACGTGTTAGAGGGGAAGGCAGAAACACAACCCATATCTCCTTTAGAACTGGTACAGGGAATTTCTAGCTGCTGCCCGGGGAGGTAGGTAATTCACAGACACCCCAGCACCACAATGTCATGAATATGACAATCCAAGGTATTTGTAACATTTGTCTCAGAAATCACATCTCTGTTGCTTCCAAATTCTTCTTAATTTGTTCACTGACATTCCAAGATTCGCTGCCATGCAAAAGAACATCACTGACACAAAATTTTATGATGGATGTTGATAAAACTTTAGAAAAAGTAATTAAAATTACAGCAAATGTGCTATCCTCTGCATAATAAATATAAGTAACCAAAATTATGGGACAAACAAAGAAAATCAAAAGCTTATCTGTACCTGAGACCACCTACATAGGATTTCTTCTCAAAAACGGTGATATTGTTATAGCCAAGCCTGGCCAGAAAAGTTGCACAACTGATACTAGCAGGACCGCAGCCTAGTAATGCAATCTTAGCTCTGTAGCTCTCGGGTAGCTCGTCAAGTGGTGTGAGGCTGGGATCACGTATTTGTGGCACCCTCATATCTTTGAAAATCTGTCAACATCCAGAGAGAAACTTATTCCTCATTTTGAAGACAATGCATGGCTTAGTTTACAGAGTAATTGTGTTTCATCATTGTCAAAATAAAGCAGGTCTTTTGCAGAATGTCGCTCTCATTAAGACTTCTTGGAATGACAATTCATCTTTGCCTAACCTGCCAAGGCATTGTCAAGAGTAAGATGTCCTAACCCTTCACCCATGAATACTAAAAAAAATGGGCCACAAACGGGTAGGAATTTCAAAAAAAAGAATACTTTAAAAAATGACAATTTTTTAAATAGGGCACTAATAAATTTTTAAAAATTTTGTTTTTATTTTATTTGTGAATTTTTTTCCATAAAATAGAGAGATTTATAAAGGGGTAATCAATAAACATGAACAGATTGAATCTCTGGGTTAAAAAAAGAAAAATCCAGTGACTCATGACCTCTATCAATAAGGTGACCCCATGATCTGTATCAAAAAGGCTTACAGGACAATATGGCATCAAAGTGGCTTGGCTTTGTTGATTTCAGTAAATCATAAAGATCAGAAGGAATCCACCCCCCTCTCCCCCCACCCCTGCTATTTTTAGTTACAAAGTTCATATTCTGCCCTATTTATCACAGCACAGGTGCACATATGGCCACTGGAATTAACTTCCTGACTACCATGACTATGTGATCCACCATCGTATATGCCTGTCTACCATGATCGCACGTTATGTGATCCACCATCGTATATGCCTGTCTACCATGATCGCTTTCCCTGCGATTGTAACTCTGGACGCTCACAGCCATGTTAAAATTACTACTTTTGCAATAAATATAGTTGAAATCATTAGTCCGTTCATTTCTCTATGGTTCTTTAAGGTAAACAAATCAGTAGTTTTTTTTGGGAAGGGTTCTTTTTCAATGAGTTCTGATGTCGCTGACACAGAAATGGATGTTTTGATAATGGGGCTGATTGTTAGGGCCGGCATGGTGGAAGAGTCTGGGGAATATTCCTGATGCTATGGGATATTGTCTTGATTTTTCTGAACAGTTTCATGGCTGTGACTTTGATAATTCTTACAAACTGTCATTGAAACAGAAAGATGATGTTTGGCTTACAGCAGTGGCGTTGCAGTCAGAGGTAAGTGTGTTACATTAGACTGTTTCATGTATGTGCTTAAAGTGTTTATTTTAGATGCTTCTGTTAGAGTAAATTGTCTCCATTATTGCTCTGTGGTTTCGAGTTTAGTGAAAATCGTTTTACAATGCAATCCAAGACATTTAGAGTTATGTGTTTTCCATTATGAGTGTTTTGGAAGAAAATAGTTTTGTGGCTTTTTGAGTTTGACAGTTCACTCACACTGTATCAGATTTTCTTGTTGCAAAATGGCAAACAGCCAGTAAAGTAGCAGAATTTTATTTCAGAGTTAGACAGAGCTTTCATCCAAGGTTATTTGAAATGTTATATTAGTGTCAGAAAAAATGTGTACACATATTGGTGATGATGTACAGTAAGATTACAACATTTTTTGTTAATTCTTTAAATTTGTTCTCAACTCAGTTTGGTGCAAAAATGCAAATATATCATGAGTTTATGTTAAATAGTTGTGAAGCTATGGATTTTTTGTTTATGTTGTTAAAAAAAAATGTTTTTTTGTTTCATTTTTTTCTCACTAATCTACAGCCATATGATGACGATGTCAAACAAGATTACACCGTTCTTGTTCTCGACCTCTGTTCTCCATTCAGTGTGATGCAAGAATACAAAATACAGTATTACAAGTTGATGTTAAATAGTTGGGAAGCTATGACATTTGTAGTATACACTAAAATACGTGGTATCTGGGAAAGTGCAAGGGTTTATGGGTATTGTAGTCAGTGGGTTAACTATGCTTTTCAAGACCAGGACATTGCATACATGGCCACATACCAGGACTTTATGGGACTGTGTTACAACTGGAAATGACTAGTTTAGTTTTCTTCGAGTGACAGGCTTAATCATTCAGTACAAACTCATTTGATCAAAAAATAAATTCTGCTTAATTTTATTTTGTGTTTATCTTTAAAAGGGCAGCTTGTACAGTGAGTTGTGGTTTACAGCTAGGATGCAACATCTGTGCTTTTCAACCCAATACTTCCAATTTAAAAAAAACTTAATTAGTTGCCTTTTATGACATGTGTGTTAAGGGGCAGTGCCCCCCCCCCATCCCCTTGCTTTACCCAAAGTGGGGCTCCAGAAGGCACATGGTTGTGTATGAAAGAGTTAAAATAATAACCCTATAAGAGAAAAGGATTAACAGTACCAACTGGAGCAGAGCGAGTTAACATAATAACTGCATAGGGGACAAAGGATTAAGTGCATCAGTCAGACAGTGCAATGGATCAAGCGCATCAGTCAGACAGTGCAAGGATCAAGCACATCAGTCAGACAGTGCAATGGATCAAGCGCATCAGTCAGACAGTGCAACGGATCAAGCGCATCAGTCAGACAGTGCAACGGATCAAGCGCATCAGTCAGACAGTGCAACGGATCAAGCACATCAGTCAGACAGTGCAATGGATCAAGCGCATCAGTCAGACAGTGCAATGGATCAAGCGCATCAGTCAGACAGTGCAATGGATCAAGCGCATCAGTCAGACAGTGCAACGGATCAAGCGCATCAGTCAGACAGTGCAATGGATCAAGCGCATCAGTCAGACAGTGCAATGGATCAAGCACATCAGTCAGACAGTGCAATGGATCAAGCGCATCAGTCAGACAGTGCAATGGATCAAGCGCATCAGTCAGACAGTGCAATGGATCAAGCGCATCAGTCAGACAGTGCAATGGATCAAGCGCATCAGTCAGACAGTGCAACGGATCAAGCGCATCAGTCAGACAGTGCAATGGATCAAGCGCATCAGTCAGACAGTGCAATGGATCAAGCGCATCAGTCAGACAGTGCAACGGATCAAGCGCATCAGTCAGACAGTGCAATGGATCAAGCGCATCAGTCAAACAGTGCAATGGATCAAGCGCATCAGTCAGACAGTGCAATGGATCAAGCGCATCAGTCAGACAGTGCAATGGATCAAGCGCATCAGTCAGACAGTGCAACGGATCAAGCGCATCAGTCAGACAGTGCAATGGATCAAGCGCATCAGTCAGACAGTGCAATGGATCAAGCGCATCAGTCAGACAGTGCAACGGATCAAGCGCATCAGTCAGACAGTGCAATGGATCAAGCGCATCAGTCAGACAGTGCAACGGATCAAGCGCATCAGTCAGACAGTGCAATGGATCAAGCACATCAGTCAGACAGTGCAACGGATCAAGCGCATCAGTCAGACAGTGCAACGGATCAAGCGCATCAGTCAGACAGTGCAATGGATCAAGCACATCAGTCAGACAGTGCAACGGATCAAGCGCATCAGTCAGACAGTGCAATGGATCAAGCGCATCAGTCAGACAGTGCAACGGATCAAGCGCATCAGTCAGTTAGTGCAACGGATCAAGCGCATCAGTCAGACAGTGCAACGGATCAAGCGCATCAGTCAGACAGTGCAACGGATCAAGCACATCAGTCAGACAGTGCAACGGATCAAGCGCATCAGTCAGACAGTGCAATGGATCAAGCGCATCAGTCAGACAGTGCAACGGATCAAGCGCATCAGTCAGTTAGTGCAATGGATCAAGCGCATCAGTCAGACAGTGCAATGGATCAAGCGCATCAGTCAGACAGTGCAATGGATCAAGTGCATCAGTCAGACAGTGCAACGGATCAAGCGCATCAGTCAGACAGTGCAATGGATCAAGCGCATCAGTCAGACAGTGCAACGGATCAAGCGCATCAGTCAGACAGTGCAATGGATCAAGCACATCAGTCAGACAGTGCAACGGATCAAGCACATCAGTCAGACAGTGCAATGGATCAAGCGCATCAGTCAGACAGTGCAACGGATCAAGCGCATCAGTCAGACAGTGCAACGGATCAAGCGCATCAGTCAGACAGTGCAATGGATCAAGCACATCAGTCAGACAGTGCAACAGATCAAGCGCATCAGTCAGACAGTGCAATGGATCAAGCGCATCAGTCAGACAGTGCAACGGATCAAGCGCATCAGTCAGTTAGTGCAACGGATCAAGCGCCTCAGTCAGACAGTGCAACGGATCAAGCGCATCAGTCAGACAGTGCAACGGATCAAGCGCATCAGTCAGACAGTGCAACGGATCAAGCGCATCAGTCAGACAGTGCAATGGATCAAGCGCATCAGTCAGACAGTGCAACGGATCAAGCGCATCAGTCAGTTAGTGCAACGGATCAAGCGCATCAGTCAGACAGTGCAACGGATCAAGCGCATCAGTCAGACAGTGCAACGGATCAAACACATCAGTCAGACAGTGCAATGGATCAAGCGCATCAGTCAGACAGTGCAACGGATCAAGCACATCAGTCAGACAGTGCAACGGATCAAGCGCATCAGTCAGTTAGTGCAACGGATCAAGCGCATCAGTCAGACAGTGCAACGGATCAAGCGCATCAGTCAGACAGTGCAACGGATCAAGCGCATCAGTCAGACAGTGCAACGGATCAAGCGCATCAGTCAGACAGTGCAACGGATCAAGCGCATCAGTCAGACAGTGCAACGGATCAAGCGCATCAGTCAGACAGTGCAATGGATCAAGCGCATCAGTCAGACAGTGCAATGGATCAAGCGCATCAGTCAGACAGTGCAATGGATCAAGCACATCAGTCAGACAGTGCAATGGATCAAGCACATCAGTCAGACAGTGCAACGGATCAAGCACATCAGTCAGACAGTGCAATGGATCAAGCGCATCAGTCAGACAGTGCAACGGATCAAGCGCATCAGTCAGACAGTGCAATGGATCAAGCGCATCAGTCAGACAGTGCAATGGATCAAGCACATCAGTCAGACAGTGCTTAACCTATAATTGTATAGACCAGTCAGCACTCAGTGGGTGATGTGGTCAACATCAAACCAGCTGCTCTTACTTCTAGAATATCATTCGAAACCCTAAGCCTAGCAGCTACGTCACTGCAGCTCCAATTAAAGATTCTTCTTCTTCTTCAGCATTCCCAGCCCTTGAGGTTCATAGCTGCAGATATCACCCACCTCTATTCATAATAGATTACACTAAATAAAATTCACAGAATACTCTAAAAAGTTATAAATATTCATCAATGGTAAATGAAGGAGACACTAAAAAACATAGCTAACATTGTTAAATCATTTTAAACACAGAGATAAAAAGTACCTGCACTAAAGTAAACAAAAAATTGTACCAATTAAAGTTAGCACAGTTGACAGGAAACACTAGTAACAGTAAATAGTTGTACAGTGAAACACTTATAAGACAACACAATAAAACTTTAGGGTCCTCAAGAGCGGAAACACCTTGGACTCACCTCAACAGCAAACTGCTGTAAGCCACCAATGTTGATTGGGCCTTCCTCCGTTGCTGCCAGATTACATCCGCCCACACAGAGATCTGATGTGGGGCAGACCATCCCACATGTAAGACCAAGTGGATTATCAGACAGAATTGCTTTTGCTGCTCCATAGTAGTTCTAGGAGAAAAAAATTCTTAAACTTAAAAACATATTTAAAAGGGAATGCAATTTCTTTAGCTTAAAGATTTTGGCCACACACAAAAGTTATAATATGAGTCTCCGTGGAAAAGTGATCAAGTCATTTACCTCACGCTCTGAAGGTTGTGGGTCCCTACCATGACTGCACCTTTCAGTTCACGAGTGCAATTTTCACAAAGATCCCTGGGGATTGTCGACAGAGCTATGGAGTTCATGCTCTGTGCGGCACTCTCTGCAGAGACTGAGCCATATAGGATAAAAACTCGGTGCAATGAGGCCCATCCTCTCGATTTTAACTTTGACTAATATGAGCAACACCAGTTGCACCAAATATAACAGAGAACATGAGAATTATGACTACTAGCCCAGAGCACCTACCTAAAGTAGTAGCAGTAGCAGCAGCAGCAGCAGCAGCAGCAGCAGCAAAAGAAAGGAGTAGAAGGAGGAGAGGAAGACATTTCTGACAACTGTTGCGTTAAGTGATCATTATTCAGATTAATATAGTGCTGTTTAAAAATCACATACGTAAAGCACAAAAGGCATGAAAATATCGGCTCCAAAAAAAAGTTAACAATTTGCTAAGGCATAAATATGGAAGAAAGTGAATGATGTACAAAGTAACTAATAAAAGTGTAGTGTATTGTTTAGCGCAGAATGGCTTTAATCTTACATTTACAATACACTTGAATTTAAGCTTGAAACTTTAAAAAAAGGAGCGGCACAATTAAATATAGCATGCAGCTGAATAATAAAAGAAATAAGTCATTAGGAATAAATATAACTTCTGCTAAACATGGTTACAATCTGTATAAGAAAATTAGATAAAGTGTAAATGAGACAGGAAATAATCAAAACAAAGATCATTAAAAAAGAACCAAAGTAATTACAACTGCTATTACCGCCAGTATTTGTCACTTTGCAGTACAGGCTGGGGGAAGGGGGTCTTTGAGCCTGAGGATTTAGGGTTATCGATGAATCACTACTTCTTTACAAATGAAGATTATCTTTCAAACAGTACATTCTGTCAAAGAGATAGTCTAGTGTAGTTAGTATCATGTCTGCCTTAGAATCAGAAGGTCTTGTGTCCAACCCCCAACCACCACCCAGGGGGGTGGTAGCTTCGTCAGTCAAGTTTGTGGGGCACCATCGTGCCTCTGACTTGTCACCACTTGAGCCAACGACTCCTAACTAGGGTACAAACTTTTTTGCTGTACAAAATATAGCCCTCACTGCTAATGCATCTTTTGCATTTGGAGGATAGAAAAGTATTAGGCACAGCAGAGACTTTTTTTCCACATTGCTTAGCGCACAGGTAAGACAGCTATGGCCATGAACGTAGCAGCAAAAGGGTTAAGACATACAACCAAAATTAATGTCTGACTTTTGTATGTGAAACAAATATTTTAAATTGTGCATCAAACAATTTCTTTAGGTCTTGGAGAAGTAGTTTTACACACACACAAAAATGCTCAAAATTCACTGGACAGAAAAAGATAGAAAAAAAGATGTTTTAAAAGAAGTTAGGGCTCAAAGACAACTTTTCACAAACTTTACAAATATACATACTTTTTTGCTCATTTTATAAGAAAAGGGAAACTGGAACACTGTGTGACCAGTGAAAATATGTGTGAGAGAGGAGACAGAGGAAGACAACGTGAAAAGATTATTGACAGCCTTTTGTCGTGACATGGTGGGGTGTAGGTCACAAACTGATTGATGCTGTTAAAGATTGCAGATTGTAGAGAGGCATGATTGCCCATGCCAGTGGACAAACACACTTGATGATGATGATGATAATGATTATCAGTATCGAGCAAATGAACAGGGACAGAGAGAGACAAAGAGGGAAATGCACATGCACACACACATACATGCACGTGCACATGTGTGAAATCACATACACACAACATAAACATGATCATATACCTTGTTGGCGATGCAGCTGATGAAGTGCTTGACGTCCAGCTGTGTTGGACAGCTCTTCTGACAAGGAGCATCAGCACATTTGAGGCAGCGGGCAGCTTCCTTCAGTGCTCCTCGTTCACTCAGCGTCGTGTGTTTTATGTCGTCAAAATTTTTATACAGGCCCTCACAAGACTGGTTTTAAAAAGTAAGGTTTCATTAATTACATTTATGTGCTCTTTATCTCGACTTTCTTCACCCTCCTCTTCTTCTCTGTCTCTCTCTTCCCACACACAAACACACACACACACACACACACACACACACACACACAGGCACAGTGCATAAAAAAAAAAGGGGTCAGTTGCAAGTTTTTTTTTTTCTGTGTTTAGTTTTTGTGTGTCCTAGTTCTTTGTTCAATGTGCACCGCTTGTTGTAAGGGATGTGGGGGTAATCTGTTTCTCTCATTAATTGCCTTTATGATATCCTTGTAAGTTTGTCTATTCCAGTGGCAAGGCATGATCAGTTTGCACGTGTAAGCGGTAATACTAAATTAAGCATTAGCAGGGAACAATTGCACTGCAGATGTTATCACATGACATTTTGCTTCTCGTCGCTTTACTGTTGAAAGTATGCATGCAGAGCTAGTGTCATAGTATTAGTTACTGGTAGCTGTCAAATGCTACAGTTTCTGCATGAATGGCATATTTGGAACAAATAGTAAACAGTGATAATGAAAGGTAAAATAATGCATTTTTCTTTAGGAATAGAAAGTCTAAATGACGATTACAGCCCTTACATACATGCATGAATGCCTTGCCACTGTTCTATTCAATTATCCCCCACAAAAAGGCCCCAGAACCCACACAGGGATACATTCAAAATAGACTCCTGAAACTGTTTCTTCTTTACTTACCAAGCAGTCTTTGTCCTGGTTTCTCTTCCAGTGTTTCTTCTCTCTCTTTGTGACAGCGCTGGGCACAACACTGGCATTGTGCCGCACTTGAGGATTTAGTATAAGCAGGTTCTGGAAGAAAAGAAACAATAGAGATAATCTGTGTTGGAAAGAAGAAAAACTTGTATCCTGAAGAGCAATTTAAATTTTTTTTTCTTCGAATAATTATTGTGAGCCTTCAGGTGAGAATTAAAAAAATAAAATATTTTGGCCATCCTTTTTGAAACTGTACTGAAGGAAAAAGTTAAAAGTCAGGGGTACGAGGTGTAGACAGTGAAATAGTTTTGTACTGTTCCGGCAAATTTAACGGATATACATAATTAACTTGTCTGACTGTCTGTTGTCCCCAGTCTGCTACCTCAAAGTCTGATCCTCACTGAGTTTTCGAAGAGTCTCATCATGGATTTCAGACCAACAATTCAAATCCCAGACTAACAGTTTAACCTCCAAAGAAGATCTAATTAGGACCTCCATAAAGTTTACACAGCCTCATATAACCTTCAGTTCTGTGCAGGTAATGATAGTGTACATTAACTTGATGTACTAAACACATTTAACTTTTTCAGTCTCATGCTAAGCAAGATCAGGACAGGCATGCTTCGTGCAGAGTGGCATACTTCGCTGCAGAGGACACAGGTGAGGAGTATTGTCTGGATTTTTTGTCACTGGCGCACGCCGGTATGTTGGTAAATGAACAGGCTGACAGGCTGGCTGGCTCTGCACAACTTGGCAAAATACTGATGCATGATAAGGCAGACATGGTTAGTGCCTTGTGGGAGAGCGTGTATAGTTCGGAGGAGCAGATGGATCACCACAGTCTGGTGAGATTGATGCAGGGGGGAGTGACGAGAGGTTGTGGCAGATGTTTGAGGTTCAGAGGAAAGGTAAGAAGAACAATTAATTAGAATGCTACTGTCACCATTAGTATCTGAACTCTTGGCTGGCTGCTAAAGATGGGGACGGAGCCATTATGGGAATGCCCTGAGTGCTGAGATGTCAGTTTTTGAATCAAATCAAATCAGTCTCAAATAATTCACCATGTATACTTGATATTACTCATGTGCACCAGTCAACATGTTTTGTGTATTTGTACATCTTTGTTAATTCAGGCAAACTGAATCAATCCAGCAACAACACAAGTCTCCTGTGTATTTGTACATCTTTGTTAATTCAGGCAAACTGAATCAATCCAGCAACAACACAAGTCTCCTGTGTATTTGTACATCTTTGTTAAGTCAGGCAAACTGAATTAATCCAGCAACAACATTGTTGTGTATTTGGACTCTGTGGATGCAGTATACCTATGACTTTTGTTATCATCATTGATTTAATCGGGCATCAGCTTTGATGCTCTGGAATTGAAAGAGTTAAAGCAAAAATATTAAAGTATTCTTTCGCTTGTATTGTGTAGTGTTTTATTTAGTTTGTTGAAAAAATTCTATCAACAATCCTGAGTCCTATCCCCACCGTTATGTATCACATACATAGATGAAATCAGTACAGCATCTGGAATGAATGAGGAAAATAAGTGCGATGAACTCCTTTTTGTAGACGACCAAGTTCTCATGGAAACTGCAAAGGAACAGCAGCAGAAATAACTGCACAATCTCAGCAAAGCAGCTAAAGCCGAAAACATGAAAATTACCATTGAAAAAAACCTGCAAAAGACTTCATTCAAGTATCTTCTTCTTCTTTTTCTTTTTTTTCTTCTTCTTCTTAAACATTCCAAGCCCTTAATGTTCATTGCAGCAGATACTACCCACCTCACTTCACCTCTCTGGTTGGCCTTCTCTTTCTAGTTCTAATTTTGCAGACAAGCATGTAATAATTGACACCAAAAGAGCACTATTCAATACAGTATTTTTACCAACATTGTGTTAGCTGTGGACACTAACGAGGGAAAGCAAACAAGAACAATAAAAACAACAGAAATGAAATGTCTAGAAAGAATTCTAAAGGTAACTTTAGAAGAGACAGGATCTGAAATGATGATGTCAGGAAAGAAAATGGGACGGAGCCAGTACTAAACAACATCAAGGGACAACAGATCAAATGGTTTGGACATGTGGAAAGACCAACATCACCAGGTAGTGCACATAGAGAGCTCTGTCACTTAGTCATTAAGTAATGGAATCAGATCTAGAGGCTGACCACGCAGACAATGAACAGATAGAAATAAAAGCATCTACATAGCAAGGCTTGCACCCAATTCTTCTGTAAAACCTGGCGCTGAAAGGTAGAACGGGACCAGACTGCCAAGAGATACTGTAATTTTAAGAACTGGAAACGGGGTGGAAATGAAGAAAACTTCTAGTGTAAACCGTACACTTAAAAAAATCTGTGCCTTTTAGTATCTGTTGTCGTATACATTATGTAGTTTCAAGAGAGATTCTGCTGAGGCAGAGATATTAGGCAACAAGGTAACCGTACAGTCAACAGTTCCCCCTCCTCTTCAGTTTTCATATCCTACTTTTCATTCAGCATTCTCCTTTTACACTTAGTTAAGGAATAACCCCCCCCCCCCACCACTATTTCTGTCCTAAAAACCAACGCACAGTGTGTCAACCGTTGTAGTCAGTGTGTGATCAATTATAGTCCATATGTGATCAGATATAGTCAGTGTGAGATCAGTTATAGTCTGTGTGTGTGATCAGATATAGTCAGTGTGAGATCAGATATAGTCAGTGTGTGGTCAGGTATAGTCAGTGTGTGATCAGATATATTCAGTGTGTGATCAGTTATAGTCAGTGAGTGATCAGTTATAGTCAGTGTGAGATCAGTTATAGTCAGTGTGTGATCAGTTATAGTCAGTGTGTGATCAGTTATAGTCAGTGTGTGATCAGTTATAGTCAGTGTGAGATCAGTTAAAGTCAGTATGTGATCATATATAGTCAGTGTGTGATCAGTTATAGTCAGTGTGTGATCAGTTATAGTCAGTGTGTGATCAGTTATAGTCAGTGTGTGATCATATATAGTCAGTGTGTGATCAGTCACAGTCAGTGTGTGATCATATATAGTCAGTGTGTGATCAGTTATAGTCAGTGTGTGATCAGATGTAGTCAGTGTGTATTAAACAACAAAAACTGTATCATTACATTTTTTACATTTGGTCTTGACATGCTAAAAAAATCTGACAAGATAGGCCTATGCTTAAAGGCATCTCAGTCGTGATCATCGTCTTCTTTTTCACGTTCATCCCCTGTAAACTCCGGCAGAACATTGTGGTTGTTTGTCTCTACCTCCAGACTTTAGTCGTCTTGTTCAAGAACCTGGTTGTTGCGTGTATATCAGTTTTACAGATCTGAATTATTTGTATACAGACTCTTCATCTCTTGCCTCTTAAGCAGATGCACAGCGACTACGAACATGTCCTCAGTTAGTCTACCTACATGTCATACTTTTTGGGAAGGCAATGGGTCTATTCTTATTTTCCATATAATAGGGCCACGGGACCCACATTATGTTATCTCCGAGGTGGGGTTTTTGTTTTCATTGTAGCTATTATCTCCAAGGCTATCTAAAAGAACTTTTTTTTCCTGACTGAAAGAGTTAAATAAGGTCAAATATTTACGTAAGATGTTTACAATGGGAATGATCATTCACTCTGGCTGCGTGATGTTTGGCAGGAACAGTCAGCAGTCACTTTCGCGACCTTGTGTGATTAGTGCTAGCTTTGTCCCGTGACCTCGATACAGCCGCGATATGTCTACTGGCAAATTATTTCCATAGAATTGGGTTACTAGCTACTACAACCAGGGTTAATTCACACATGCAGTTTCTGGCAACACCCCTACTTAGAAGATACAATAAATGAGCTGTCAGTTTGTCAACATCTCTCCCCCCCCCCCCCCCCCCTTTCCCCGACACACACATCACCCATCGAGTGCCGATTGGTGTATGAAATATAATGCCCTCTACTTTATTATAAGGTTAATATAGCATATGTTCATGTGAGGGAACAGTGTTCCTCCTATAACAAGTCTATTCGCTGTGCAGAAGTCGCTCAGTCTTTCCCCGTTGTCATTAATTGTACCACATCCTTGATATCCCATTGATAGTTCTCTATTCAAGTTGTTGTTACCAACTTTTGCATTGAGATCTTCCATAATGAGAAATAAGAGAAGATAGAAATGGCTTGGCCACGTTATGAGAATGAATCCTGATATACCCGCCAAAACAGCTCTCACATGGACACCACAGGGAAAGAGAAAACAGGGGCGCCCAAAAACAACATGGAGACGAACGATGGAAAGTGACCTGAGTGCGGCATCTTTGACATGGAAAACTGCACTGAAGATTGCGCAGGACAGGAAAGCATGGAAAGTCCTCTCTGAAGCCTCATGTGCCACTAGGCATAACGAGAACTGATGATGATGATGAATATAGCATATCACTTGTATGGTGGAATTCCAGGGAAATTTGACTAAAAAGCTTAACCAAATGGGGAAGCAGAAAAACGTGCACAAAACAACATAAATAACGTAACGTTTCGGCCGGTCAGCCTTTGTCAAACATGAAGTAAACTACACAAAGGTTTTTATTTTAGGGAATGCCTATCTAACATGCAAAGTCTGCATTCGGCAGACTGTGCGGATAAAACCAACTTGGTTCAGCGGACAAAAAAGCGACTATCAGCAGGCTCTGTGGAAAACTTTGAGCACAAGGCACCAAAGAAGCCCTAGTCGTCCACTGCACCCGTGTTCATCTCCAGACGTTTTGCCACCGGACTTATGTGGACTTGGGCGTAGAGTGAGGTCGACGAATTGCGCAACTCTTCCTCACTTAAATCAGAATCACAACGCCAGTCCTCCTCATATCTATCCCTAAACCCTAAAAACCTAATCCAGTCACTAAAGGTTGAAAGAACTGGTCGTCATCACTTGAGATGGACGAACAACAACATTTTAGAGGCAAACTGATACCAGATATGTGATTCTTTGGTGTAACACTTTCCAGAACATTTGCTGATAATTATTATGTCTGATTCCTCGGAACTTAGATCAGTTTTAGAACCTTCCCCTCCTCGGTGGCAGTTCGAACCTTTGACCATGCAGCGCGCCATACAGGTTGCCAACAACTGTTTAATCGCGCATGTAGAATATGTTGCTGAATTCTACCTTCTTCTACTGGGGGTGGTTATAATTTCTTTCTCTCTCTCTCTCTCTCTCTCTCTCTCTCTCTCTCTCTCTCTCTCTCTCTCTCTCTCTCTCTCTCCCTCCCTCCCTCCCTCCCTCCCTCCCTCCCTCCCTCCCTCCCTCCCTCCCTCCCTCCCTCCCCTCCATCCATCCATCCATCCATCCATCCATCCATCCATCCATCCATCCATCCATCCATCCATCCATCCATCCATCCATCCATCCATCCATCCATCCATCCATCCATCCATCCATCCATCCATCCATCCATCCATCCATCCCATCCATCCATCCATCCATCCATCCATCCATCCATCCATCCATCCATCCATCCATCCATCCATCCATCCATCCATCCATCCATCCATCCATCCATCCATCCATCCATCCATCCATCTATCTATCTATCTATCTATCTATCTATCTATCTATCTATCTATCTATCTATCTATCTATCTATCTATCTATCTATCTCTATCTCTATCTCTCTCCCTCTCTCTATCTCTTTCTCTCTATCTCTCTCCCTCTCTCTATCTCTCTCCCTCTCTCTATCTCTCTCTCTCTATCTCTCTCCCTCTCTCCCTCCCTCTCTCTATCTCTCTCTCTTTCTCTCTCCCTCTTATCCACCATTCCCCCTCTCCACTGTGCACATACACACACATACACACAAATACACACACATACACACACATACATATACTTAATTCAACAAATAAAACTGACAACGTTACTACTAAAGTTTTAATACCCATACTTGTTTCACTTTGAAAACAAATTCCGTTCATGAAATGCAGCAGTAACCAAACTGTTGATGAATGTTTACCAAGTAAACATTACAATAAGAATAAACCACTAACATTAACAATCGCAACGGTAATTCACGTATGACTAAGTTAAGTATTACTCTATGAAAGCACAAACATTAGTGGACCAACAAATGCATATTATTTATCCTTACCTCTATATCGGGCAAATCCCTGCTAACACTTGTATAAGCCATTAGTCCTAGTTGTCAGACCGTCAAAAACACCAGCAACTGAACATAAAAACCAGAATGCAAGTTCAACAAACTTTTATAGTAATAGTACTATTAAGTATACGTACTAACGAAATTTGACCATCTTACAGATAAGATACTGCGTGACCAACTTAGCTGTAAATCACGGCTTGTGTGCTAAACGTGTGTGTGTATAATTCTCGACACACCCCGCTACAACGCTAGCTGATGAGGCGGTGGTTATACCGCTGTTATACACTTTCACACACAAGATTACTTTCGTTTTTGTCAGGGGACAAGTCTGCATCCATATTTCGCTTTTTCCGGGAATAAGCCTCTACACTGTAAATGAACACAACGCAAAATATAATCATGACGCTAGAAAAAACACGTAGTGACGTTCAACCAGCATCCCAGAAGTAGGAGCTTTAGGTTATAATTGTGACTAGGTTATGTGCGCCGTATAGAATAATTCAGCATTGCTAGCCACCATATTGAGTGAGTGACTTTCTACTCCACCAGGACATCACACAAGCGATGAACACCCGATGACACAACGTGCCACCATGTGGATGAGGATCGCCGTGGAGAGGTCCCAGAAACCGCGTTCAGACATTTGGCCATTTTTATGGGCTGCCTATATTGCGGCCCCTGGCAAAAGCCAGAGTGGGGCTTCAAATAACAAAAAATTACGTCCTGAAAAGGACGTAAGAATTTGAAGTTATAGCATATTGGATTGGATTGGATTTTTTACCCCACCAGGACATCACACAAGCGATAAACACCCGATGACACAAAGTGCCACCATGCGGATGAGGATCACCGTGGAGAGGTCCCAGAAACCGCGTTCAGACATTTGGCCATAATGATGACCTGCCTATATTGCGGCCCCTGGCAAAAGCCAGAGTGGGGCTTCAAACAACAAAAAATAACGTCCTAAGAAGGACGAAAAGTGGTTAATAATCACACTAATTATATTGACTGACTGACTGACTGACTTTCTACCCCACCAGGACATCACACAAGCGATAAACACCCGATGACACAAAGTGCCACCATGTGGATGAGGATCGCCGTGGAGAGGTCCCAGAAACCGCGTTCAGACAATTGGCCATATTTATGGCCTGCCTATATTGCGGCCCCTGGCAAAAGCCAGAGTGGGGCTTCAAATAACAAAAAATTACGACCTAAAAAGGACGTATGAGTATATCAACACTAATCATATTGGATGGAATGGATTTTTTACCCCACCAGGACATCACACAAGCGATAAACACCCGATGACACAAAGTGCCACCATGCGGATGAGGATCACCGTGGAGAGGTCCCAGAAACCGCGTTCAGACATTAGGCCATAATGATGACCTGCCTATATTGCGGCCCCTGGCAAAAGCCAGAGTAGGGCTTCAAATAACAAAAAATAACGTTCTAAGAAGGACGAAATGTTACTAATCATATTATGTTTGCTTGTTACAAATCCGGACACCCTCCATCCCCCACTACCCGTTTTCCAAAAAATAATGTAAGCAGTCAATTGATTGACATAACAGCCTGGGTAACTAACAACTATAGCCTAGAAAGACTAAGGACAGTAGAATGTAATAGGCAACGAAAAGAAAGACACGGGTTCCCAAAGAGACATTTCAAGGCATTACCCCTTATCACATTTCTGTATGTTAGTTCCAATTCTGAAGTTATTTCCCTTTTTTAAAATCCGTATATTTTCGTGTGTGCTTGTTTGCGTGTGTTTGTGTGTGTGTGTGTTAGTGTGTGTGTGTGTGTGTGTGTGTGTATGTGCATAAGAGGTTTTTTTTTGGGGGGGGGGGGGGAGGGAGGCTGTCCCCGTGACTAAGTGGTTAATCTGTTTGCTTCACGCTCTGTAGGTCGGTAGATTCGTTACGAGAACAACGGCATTCAGTTCACGTTTTGCATAAACCAGTTTTGGATCGTAAATGGAGCTACAGTGTTTCTGCTTTGCGCAAAGCTCTCAGCAGGTGACTGGTTTGCGAGTGATCACTAGGTTTTCAAGTTTATTTATTTTCTCAGCCTAACATTCTCAGAAACTTTTGACCGTTTGCGTTTAATTTCTCTAACCAGTTCACTATTTGCATAAACCTGTTTTTGGATCGAAATGGAGCTATCAGTGTTTGTCCGCCTGCTTTGCGCTTGTGATATACTTTGCAATATCCTCAACTAAACATCTATTACATTACATTTTTCAAGTTTATTGGTATACTCAGGAAAACATTCACAGAAACTTTTGACGTTTGCGAAATTTCTCTAACCAGGGGACTATTTTTCCAACTGTTCACGCAGGAGAAAAACTGGACCGGAGCCTTTCTCGACCCGCAAATCACGTGATATAAAGGTTGTTGTAGGAGTAGTAAACCTGCCGCTACATTACATTTCTTCTTAAGCTACGTCCTCCTTTAAAAAGAATTCACTGTGTCGAGAGAGATATAAAGTAACTGCTTTTTGCTGTTTCTGGCTGCTTCTACTACGCAGAAGACTGGATCGTAGTGTTGTAAAGTTTTCTCTGATGTTAACAGAAACACATTGTTGGTACGTGCCTTCCGCTCTATCTTTTTTCTATGCCGTATATAGTATAGCATCACCGGCATTCTTTCCAAGATAGAAATAATCGCTTGATTTGCTGTCTCTGTATGTAAATTTATAGAATATGGTAGTGTTGTATACTTTTCTCTGCATGGTCTCGTTCCACATTCTACGTTTTCTGGTCTTTCTTACAGTCAGTCTCAGAGGCCTCTTTCCAGATAGCAAACCATTTGATTTCTGTCTTTGTTGTTATTTGAATTGGACAGCTTACTTTATGATTACATTCCTGATTGTATGTTTTCTGGTCACTCTTACAGTCAGTCTCAGACACCTCCTTTCCATGGTTACTAATTTTCCTTTATGTTTTGTTGTGAGTGACCACGTCTGGCACTGATAGCATAAGGTAGGAATGAATATGTTTTGTATGAGATTGTCTTTGTGCTAATTAGGATTGCCTTATGCTGTAAGAAGAGGGCTAGCTGTCTCAATACTTGGCCAGCTTTACTGCATCGAAAGTTAATTTTTTCGTCCAATTCACCATCTTCAGTGAATGTTGTTCCAAGATATTTAAATTCAGATGCCTGTTTAATATATGTATGCTCTAATGCTATATTTAAATTCTGCTCCTTTCTTCCTTTTGACATTACTTCTGTCTTTTCGATGTTGATTCTCATGTTATTTGATTTACATTCTTCATTTATCGATGTGAGATGTAAATTCATTGCTGTATCTGCAATCAAGGCCTAGTCATCAGCAAAGAGTAATTCGTTGATATTACTATTATTATTGTTCCTAAGTCTGACATCCTTGCATATACTGGCAATGTAGATGATAAACAGGAGTGAAGATAAGACACATCCCTGTCTTACTGCAGATGTTACTTTGAATGGTTTGGATGTTCCCTGATTTATTCTAACTATGCTTCTACAATCTTCATATAAGCTTTGCAAACTTCAATGAGGTGTTCACTTACTCTGTATCGAGCAATTACTTTGCATAATTTTTGACTATTGACTCTGTGGAACGCTTTCTCGTGGTCTACAAATGCTACAAATAAGTTCTGATCATATTCGATATTATTTTCTATTAACTGTTTAAGTGTGAAGATTGCATCTGTGTGCTTATATTTTTTGTCTGAAAACTATCTGTTCTTCTGTTAACTGTGGTTCTATCACTGGTCGCAGCCTCGTTTCTATTATCTTAGCATAAATTTTCCAAACATGACTTAAAAGAGAGATACCTCGATATTGCATTTTCGCTTGCTTCCATTGTTCTTCCATAATGGCACAATTATTGCATGTTGCCAGTCAATGGGAGCAGTTTGTTGTACCCATACCACATTGAATATTCTGTGGAGCCATCTAATGTTGCTTCCGTCTGATTTCTCTCTTTTTTTTCAGCAATACTAAGCAAGGTGGTTTTATAAACATTCCATTCATTCTCAGTATTCCCCACCACAGGCGATAGATGTTTGAATGCTGTCTCTACTTTCTTATGTAACTGTTCTTTTACTCCTTCTTGTTTCAAACTTGCTATCTTGATGAGATCACGGTTTTTAGTTAACTGCTTCATGTTTTTCTTGAAGAGGCTGCATACCGCCAGAAAAAGAAAAAGAAAAATATGGGTATACTATCTAACGAAATCCACCGCTATATGGACAGAAACATCTAGACATTGAAATACTTTCACAGATCTCAGAAGTTAGTTGCGTATTTTTTATGGGATGCGCAAAACCAACCTCCGGCATTTTTTCTTCTTTGGTTTTACTGGACAGTTTTACGTTTAGTAGTTTGCCATTATTTTCCAAAGAATCGGCTGTCAATAACATTAAAAAGGTAAAGGTAAAGTCGGGAGATGTGAACCAGCGTCATTGCAGATGGTTATAAACCTGATAAGAAACTGTCCGCCTGTGTCGCCGTTCGCACGTAACTCTATAGCTACAGCGACGTTCCTCCATTTACCCCAGAGTGTCACTCTGGTACCCATTTCCTAGAGGCTGGGTGAACCCCGGGAGCCGCGCACTTTCGAACACCGACCGTGGGCTGCAGCGAGTGGCAGCTGGTTTGGAAAGCGATCCTCGTATCGACTGCGTTAACGCGGCCCCTGTTCTCAGTAACATTGTCGAAATTAAGGCAAAGCGGTTTGCTGCCAAATCACCTGTAGCTTGATTATAACAGGGTAACTAGGAATTATGAAGTGAATACGTATCGCCTAAGTCACACACACGGACAGTCTGTGTTTAGATCCAGTTGACATCTTCATTGTGTTCTTAGATGCTGCGCACGTTCTCAACGGTGAGTAAATAAATCCCTTTAGGACCGCACACTTGGGGATGAACACCTGACTGTGCAATGTGCAGTGTGTCACTATCTGGATGAGAATCCCCCAGGTACAAATCCCAGACACCCCGTTAAACCGTACTGTTATACTCGGGTACCTGGCGGTCA